AAATTTTGATAAGATTTGATAGTTTACGTGGGGTACTGTTTGCAGAAAGGTAGCGAGACAGTTCTGCAAGAAACTGACTCTTTGGTTCAAAGGTGATAGGTATACTGTACCATAGTCTTCTGTGGATTTAGATCCCCATTTGTTCAATTTCATTTCGCAACATTATTTTGCTGTAGCAATGTTCTGAAAGTTCCCTCCGAGAACAACAAAAAAGCTGTTCAAGCGGATATGTGTACGTAACCTGTAACAATGAGAAATTCCCTTTTTTTTTGGCGAATAATGGTGATTCAGGATTTTTCGGATGAATTGAGAAGCTCTAGAAATCTGAAAAAAAAACTTGGGGTTCTAGGACAGTTTTTTGAACGGCCTTAGAAATTGGACAGAAGTGTCTGATACCGTAAAACCTGTAATAGAAAGGTTCCAACCTTGTCAAGTTTGAGCTCAATTATCTCGGTTTCTTTAAAAGTTATCAAAAAGTGTTTATCTGAAAAAATATTTTTTATATTATGATAAATATTTTATTAGTTGACAAATTTTTGGTATCTCTTATAGGAACCAAGGTAATTGAGGTTAAAGTTGACAGTAAGGGGTGTTTCCTATATATGGTGTTCCTACATATAGTCTATATATCTCACTTCCTGTAAAATATATCAAAAAGTAGTTAACTGACAAAATGTTTATCATAATATCAGCAATAGTTTATCAGTTAACAAATTTTTGATATTTTGAATGGGAACCGAGATAATTAAGCTTAAAGTGCTGGGTCGCCACTCAGCTGCCAACCGCCCCGCCAACCCGTCCAGCATTGGCTTGATGCCAAATTTTAAATCGAGATTCCCTTTGGTGATAACGGGCAATTTTCTCAAAATTCTCAATTAAGATAGATGACAAATCATCTATTTCAAAAAACCCCAAAAGAAAAAGTTCACCAAATCTACAAACACCATAAATCAAATTATGTCATCTCCCCCCCTACAGTCGATTTGAATTAATTTCCAAAATTTCTAAAATATTTCATTTTTCCCCGCAAAACAAAAGACATATCGGAACCTATCACTCCAAATCAAATCAAATTGCCAGGTCACGTTCTCCCCAAAGTTTCTTATCTAAACCAACAACCACCGAATATAGACACAGTTCTCACAAAAGTGTAAACTTTTTTATTTTTTTGCCTCGCCGCATTAAAATTGTTCCTACTGGAATGTCAAAGAAATACCGACCATATGACCCGTGTCGGATGATAAATACCCTGTTTTTGGTCATCTGATCGTGACTCATCGAGAAAAATGTTTCATTTTTTTTCATCAGGAGTTTTTGGAAAGAGAACCCCCAATTGAGAACTTTTGGGAATCGGTGTAGAGGCAGCTAGTCAAACAGATTTTTTGGAAAATAGTGAATGAGATTCGAGGTGACGACATAAAGGGATTCGGAAGTTTTTTATCCCCCGTCTCTGAAACTATGTTGTCTGCATCATGTTGAAATCGAAATTGGAAACTAAACGGATTACCATCACCACCTCCCAGCAATCTATTAATACTTTCACAATGACAAACAAATATATACAGACACATGTTTTACAAAAAAGTGCATTTGATTTATGATCAGGTTTTTTTTCTACTTCATCACCTAGATTTTGAAATAACTGAGCAATTGGAGGTGGTGGTGGACAAAAGACAAATATTTGAGGGATGGGCTCCAAGAGGTCATATGAGTTTTGAACCGAGTAGCTTACTTATTTTTGTATTTTTGTACAAGACACAAAAATCTAGGAAAAAGTACAAAAAACACATTTTGTTATTCCGTACAAATTCCATAGGGGAATTACCGTAAAGCCTGTCATAGCCTGTCAACTTTGAGCTCAATTATCTCGATTCCATTGAAAGATATGAGAAAATGGTCAATTGATAAAATGTTTGTGATATAATGATGAATAGTTTATCAATTGACAGATTCTTGTTATCTTTCACAGGAATCGAGATATATTGGCTCAAACTTGACAGTGATACAGAAAACGTTAGAAAGCAAACAGAAAAGGGGAACTTTGAATCCTGAGTTCTTGGACATTTGAGCCCAGGTGCAAAAATGGGAAAATGTTATTAAGAAGAGCAAATATGGAGTTTTGTGTATAACATTTGTTAGATGACGGGAGACAATTATTAAAGGTTGCGTAGTTTGAAAAATTTATGGAAACTTTTGGAAAAATCAAAAATCGAATAGGATACTTAAAAAAAGGTTCAGAAGTGAAAAATCAAAAGCAAATGTTTCAAAAGGGCAACTAGAAGGATTTCGCAGAATTGTAAAATTTGAGATTTTGTTCCTCTAATATTTTGGGTTTCGAGGAATATGAGTTTCTGATTTTCAGATGTTTCTTACCGCATTTCCACTGAAAGAAGCCCACCCAAACCGCCGACTTTGAGCTCTATTATCTCGGTTCCTTATAGAGATATCAAAAATTTGTCGATTGATAAAATATTGGTTGAATTATAATAAATAATTTATCAGTTGACTACTTTTTCATAGCTCTCATAGGAGCCGAGATAATTGCGCTCAAAATTGACAGTCTGTAATTTTGAGGCTTTTATAATTTTGTATTTCGTAGTACGAGGTTTCCATATGTATAGTCTTCTGATTTTCAGATACTCGTAATTTAAAATTCATTTTGAATAAGAAACCGCCGTGCGTCTTGATTTTTCAGATCATGATTTTGGAGTCTCTGAATTTCTAAAACTGAAAATACCGTCTTTTTTAAATTGAAGCCCACTCAAATCGTCAACTTTGAGCTCAGTTATCTCAGTTCCCATAAGAGATATCAACAATCTGTCAACTGATAAAATATTGGGGATATTATGATAAATAATTTATCACTTTACCAATTTTTGATATATCACATGTGAACCGAGATAATTGAGCTTAAAGTTGATAAGGTGACTTGTCACTCAGATTTCGAGGATTTCGGTGTTTTCGGGCTCAAATATTATGGCCCCTCAAACTTTGCGATCTTCAACTTTTTGAAAAAGTTTTGAAAAATAATTTTCGTACTATTCTGGATCTCTGATTTCCCTTCTAAAGTTTCTTCCACCCTCATCCTTTCAAAACTGTACGATATTTGACACTTCCATGATCCCCTCCGCAACACATGAATCCTAAGGGTTCCCTCTCCTCCCTTCTCCTGTCATATTACTTTGTGAAACTCTTTTTTCAAGTCGTTTTTTTCCATCTTCTTTTCACTTCTTCCTTGTCCCATTTCATTACCGCCACATGTTCTCATCATCACCCACTCCTTTTTTCTCATCTTTGGTTCAAGCACATCTTGAAATCCGAGAGGCGTCCCGAAACGACGTGACGAGAAGAAGAAGTGGAGGATGTAAACTAAACTATTTCATGAGATTTTGAATGTTTCCACTTTCTCTCATCATCATCACTTTGCAAAAAAACCGGAAACATGTGGTGTGTTCTGTCATATAACCTTTGAAATCCTCGAGGAAATATGTGAAGAACACACATTTATCTCCAAAAAGAAGGTTCAAAAATAAACATTCGGGATAAGTTGAAAAGAGTCATGTGAGAGCGCAAATACACTTATCAAAATGACGCCCAAATATCAAATAGTTAGAGTTTCATTGAAAATGAACCAAGTATTCCGCAAGTCCTACCGTATTTTTCATGATTCGAGGAATCACAGAAGTCGAAAAATCCCCAAGGTAAGAAATCCTAGACTTTCTAAACCCATCTGTGTAATTAAATATTTGCCAACTAGTCCTAAACCAATTTCTCAAAAATAAAATTAAGAATTAGAGTCGGTGCTACTGTTTGTATTAGTGTTCAGTGTCTCGATTCCTCCTGACGAAAGGTCAATAATGCCGTGGCGCCCGATGGGTGGGCGCCCAACGGAGCATATGATTCTCTTTGGCTGATAATAACTGTTTGTATTCGGACCCTTGTGATCCGTTGAGTTTGCAAAGAGAGAGCATGTGATATTGTAGTTTGATTGTGATCATGAACACAATAAAAAAATTTTGGAACTTCTTATCACACCACCCGGAAGCTCACCTCCACAATCAGCTGATCAGGGGAAAATGTTAGTCTTGACAAAACCAACCACAACATAAGTGCATATGGGGTTACCCCTTCAAAAAAATTGGAAAAAAAGTGGTGCATTCTGAAGGGGGAGCACGACGTTCCGGGGGGAAACACCGGAAATACATGATTTGCAAAAAGAGAGGGAGAGAAAGGATTAAAGGGATATGTATATGTAATCGGAGGGAAATCCGATGAAAAAAAAAGTCTAAAGTGGAGCCACGTCAGAGAAAAGATTAGAAGAAGACGTTACGAAGATTTGGAGCAGAAAAAGAGGGTTACAGTATCATTGTGCTCAAGGGAAATCAGAAGTTCAGGTTGTTACTGAATGTCTTCAGAATCCAAAGAATCCAGAATTCCGGAATATCTGAGTTTTGAAAATTTGGTGGAACCATATTTCCATGATGCTTCTAATTCTGAAACCTGTAAATAAGAAGCATTCAGAATCCAGATGTCCTTCATCTTTGGGAATCCCCCGAGAGTCTGAATTCAGTTGTGTTCCGCGAGTCTTCAAATTCTGAAAATCATGGATCTGGAAATTCCGATTTTCAGATTTTCCTGATTCCCATCGGATCAAAAAATTTGATCTGAAAAAAGCTCCATCTGAAAATTTCAGCTACACAGATAAAATGCGAACGTATCCGTTACGGATGCTCAGCGTTCGCGAACTCCGTATCCGATCCGATTGTGAATGATAAACAAACGGATCCGTTCGCGAATCAGACAAAAGTTTAAGTTCATTTCAACCGCGCGCGAACGCTGAGCGTCCGTAACGGATTGTTCGCGAATCACCTGTGTATTCCAAAATGTGCGTATTTCGATACACAGATCAAATGCTTCCTTCCTCCTCACACAATAAACCATTATGCAAATCAAATGTGAACACTATTTTTTTTCTGTATGACAACCAGGAAAAAACCCCATCATATTTTTTCCCTTCCCCTCTCTTCTCCTCCATTTCGAACGATTCGTTTTAAATGTTCCGAAACCTTCTGGAACATTTCTTTAACACGAAGAAACCAAGAGTTCTTACGGTGAGTTCTGCAGAAGACGTCTGAATCTTGTTGCTCTCCGAGCAAAGGCTTTCCCCAAACTATTTTTCTCTCGGTGTCTCTCTAAACCTTTTCCCTCTTACCCGTATCAGTTTCGTCTGTCGTCTCTACACAATGCCACACTACTTCCAAACGTTTCCAGTGGTTTTTTTGGTTTGACATGCCGCGCGCCGCGCGCCTGCGCCAATTCCACGCAGTAGGAACAACGAGATGAACGAAAAAAAAAAGAACCAAAGTGATGAGAGAGAGAGAGAGAGAGAGTGCCCCCACCGAGATCAGTCAATACTCGTGTACACCTGTATGCGTCTCTTTGGCGCGGCGCCCTCGATAGGCCTAGGCCACGCCCTCTCCTCGAGGCCACGCCCCTTCAGTCCAAAGGGAGGAGAATAGTGTTGGCTCTCGAGAGGGCGGAGAGAACAACGATGGGACGAAAGGCCTGGTGTGCACTTTCAGACTCTCATTCCGACACACTCCAAGCCTGCAAAGAGGTGTGTGTCTTTTTTCTCGCGCTACTTCTTCGTCTTCTTTTTCCTTCCACTTTTCACTTCGACTTCATCTGCTAACTACTATGGCCGATTCGTCATCGTTCTTCTCATCGGCCTTCAGCTCGGCTAAGAATCTGATCCCGTTCGCCAAGAACACTGAGGATAAGCCAGTCGACGAAGTTGAGGCCAAGGAGGCCAAGGACTCTGCAATCCAAGAAGCCGTTCAGAATGCCTCTGCTGTGATCCACGAGGCATTCACAGATGCTGTTGAGAAGTTGGAGGAAGTGAAAGATGCTGTTGTGGAGAAGGTAACCCATGGAGATAAGAAGGAGGAGAACTCTGTTGAGGAGAAATTCGACTCTGTTCATGTTGAAGTTAATGGAGATGCAAAAGATTCTGCTGAGGAGGTTGCTGCTCAAGAATCTGCTCATGAAGAAGTCAAGGAGGCTCAAGTCGTGGTTAAGGGAGTTCTAGCTGATGGAACACAAATTGTTGAAGGCGTTTCTGGTGAGTCGATGACTTCTTCTGAATCAGTAGGGACCTTTTTTGTTATAGCTCATGCCGAGGCTCCAGCAGAAGAAAACAAGGAGGAAAGTGCTCCAACTGAGGAGGCTGTCCAAGCCGTTCACGTCGAGTCGACTGAAGCTGCTGCTCCAGCTGCTGAAGTTCCAGAAGGAGCCAAGATCGTGTTCAACGGAGTTCTTGCTGATGGTACCCACATCATCGAGGCTGTCTCTGAACATCCACCAGTTCATTTCGAGGAGTCTGCTCCAGCAGTTGCTGTCCAGGAGCATGTTGGTGAGGCTGTTTTGGCTGAGGCTCCGGCTGATCACAAGGAGGAAGCTCCTCCAGCTTCTGAAGAAGTTCTTGTAGCTGCTGGATCAGTACCAGCTGCTGAGCACAAGGACGAAGCTGCTGCGCCATCGGAGCACAAAGACGTTGCTCACATCGATCAATCCGCTGCTCAAGTCGTTGAAGAGATCATTGAGGCTGTTCACGTTTCTGAGAACGAGTCTGCTGCTCCAGCTGAAGAACACAAGGAAGAAGCTGCTCCAGTTGCCGCCGAAGCTGCTGAGCACAAGGAGGAAAACCACTCTCACGCTCCAGAACACGTCGACGATGTCGTTGAAGCTGTTCATACTGCTGTCGCTGAAGCTACTGAATCTCATGATGCTCCCGCTCCAGCTGAGAGACACAAGGAAGAAGCTGCTCCAGTTTCCATTGAAGAGGTTTTTGAAGCTGTTCACCTTCCACCCACAGAAGCTGCTCCAGCTGCCTCAGATGAGCACAAGGATGCTCCGGCTCACGAGGATCACAAAGATGAGGCTTCAGTTCCACTTGAGGAGGTCTTTGATGCTGTTCATCTTCCATCTACTGAAGCTGCTCCAGAGGCTCATGCCGAGGAACACAAGGACGAGGTTGCTCCAGTTCTTGATGCTTCTCCAAACGCCCCAGCTGAGGAAGTCAAGGATAACGTTGCTGTTCCATCTGAAGCTCATGCTGAAGCTCATGCTGAAGCTCATGCTGAAGAACACAAGGAAGATGCTGCTCCAGGTACAGAGGCAGCAGTCCAAGAAGCTGCACCATCAGAAGCTCATGTTGAGGAGCACGTCGAAGCTGCCTCAGAAGCCCCAGCCGCAACAGAAGACCACAAGGGAGAGTCTGCTGCTCCTACAGAAGCTCCAGCTCGTGCTGAGGAACACAAGGATGCTCACCATGAAGCCCCAATCGAGGAAGTCATCCAAGCTATCCATGTAGCCGCTACGGAGTCTGCACCAGAAGAACATAAGGATGAAACGGCTCCAGCCAAAGCTCATTCTGAGAAACACAAGGAAGAAGCTGCTGCCCCATCCGAGGAACACAAGGAGGAAGCCGTCCATGTCGAGTCGACAGATGCTGCTCCATCCGAAGCTGCACCAGCCCATCATGAGGATGCTGTTCCAGTTGAAGTTCATACCGAAGCAGTCACATCTGACGCAGCTCCATCAGTTGACGTTGAGTCTTCCGAAGCTGCTCCAGTCCACTCCGAAGAGCACAAAGAGGAAGCTGCTCCATCAGTTGAGGAACACATCGAAGCCGTTCATGTCGCATCCACAGAAGCTGCTCCAGAAGCGTCAGTTGCCCAGCGAGAGGAGCATCAAGCTGCTCCAGCTGAAGTCGACTCCGTCCAAGCCCACACTGAAGCTGCTCCATCAGAGACCCACGAAGAGCACAAAGAAGCTGAGGCTGCTCCATCTTCCGTTGAGGAGCACATCGAAGCTGTTCACGTCGCATCTACAGAAGCTGCTCCGGAATCAGCCGCACCAGCTGAAGAACACAAAGATAAAGCGGCTCCAGTTGAGACTGCTCCGGTTGAAGCCGCTTCCGAAGAACACAAGGAAGAAGCTGCTACTGAGGAACACATCGAAGCTGTTCATGTTGCATCCACAGAAGCTGCTCCAGAAGCTTCAGTTGCGCCAGTCGAGACTGCTTCAGTCGAAGCTCACTCCGAAGAGCACAAAGAGAAAGCTGCTCCATCAGTTGAGGAACAAATCGAAGCCGTTCATGTCGAATCTACAGAAGCTGCTCCAGAATCATCAGCTGCTTCAGTTGAGGAGCATCACCAGGAAGCTGCGCCAGCTGAGGCTGCTTCAGTCGAAGCTCACTCCGAAGAACACAAAGAAGAAGCAGCCCCATCAGTTGAGGAACACATCGAAGCTGTACCAGAAGCTTCAGTTGCCCAGCCAGAAGATCACAAGGAGGAAGCAGCTCCAGTCGAAGAGACCTTCGAATCAGTTCATGTTGCCTCCACAGAATCCGCTGCTCCAGAAGCTGCCGCCCCAGAAGCTCCAGCTACAGACGCTCCAGCCACCGACGCTCAAGTAGAAGAAGTCGCCGTCGCCTACCACGTCGAATCAGTGGAATCCGCTGCCTCGCCAGACAGTCAAGGTTTCGAGCATGTACATAACGACGCCGCCGAACACCCAGCTACACCAGAATCCGGAAGCGAGGAAACATTCGAAAAAGTCGAACATTCACAAGTCCAAGAGGCACCAACTTCCGAAGAGCACCATTCTTCGGAGCCTGAAATTGTGGAAGACATTGTCGAAAAGCAGATCGTCACCGCAGTTGCTGCAGCTCCAGTAAGTGGAGAAAAAACACTTTTTGAACTTTTCTATCCCTCTTTTCTTATCTTCTAAACTCTAAACTCCATCAATCATAAGTGTTGTGTGTATCTGTTTGCAAATGCCAACACACAAAAAACACCTGACATAGATTTCCGAAATTTCATTTTTCTTCTTTTTCTTCTTCTTTCAACTTGACATATCTCACATAGTTATGAGTGGGAGGAACAGCTCTTCTTGCATCATTTCAAAAAGTTCAAGGGGTCAAACATCTGGGGGAAATGAGTCATGGGAAAGAATCTTTAAAACAAAACCCCAAAATCACTTTCACTTCTCCCTAAACCACCAATTTGTTTCAATTCAGTCAGTCCTCCTCTTTTCATCACAAAGTATAGGTAATTGGGGGAGCGATGCAAACCGGTCCCCAATTTCAAATCGTATATACATACAGTGCGAGAAATGGGTTGGGCTATAGGCGGCACTGTCAAAAAAGATAATTTTTGTTTACTTTTTTGTTTGTGGTTTCGATGGCGAGAATTTATAGTGGCTTAGTTAAGTTTTTGAGCTAGACGGCAGACGACAAGCCACTCTAACTGCCTGCGCTCTCTCCAATTGCATACCAAAAACTTTAAACAAGTTTATCTCACTTCCTGTAAAATATATCAAAAAGTAGCCAAGTGGTAAAATGTTTATCATAATATCAAAAACATTTTGCTTGTTGGCAACTTTTTGGTATCTTTCACAGGAAGTCAGATATATAGGCTCAAAGTTTACGGAACACTATAATAGAGCGCTTCTCAAGCTCTCAACTTTGACCCAATTTATCTCGCTACCTGTAAAAGATACCAAAAAGTGATAAACTAGCAAAATGTTTATCATAATATCAGTAACATTTTATTAGTTGGCAAATTTTTGATATCGTTCACAGGAATCGAGATAAATAGGCTCAATGTTAGAAACTAGGGATGGCGTTCCATTAGTGTTTACTTGAAGAACACCCTAAAGATCATAACACACAAAGTTCTTCCATTTCTTCTTCCCTAGAAAGTTTCTCAATTGTTATTTTTGTTATCCCCATCAGATAGCCTCTTCTCGGTTCTCCCCCCACAACAACAAAAAATAGATTCAGTGTGAAAAAAGAAAAGAGAGAAATAGAGAATTTCGTTGGGCACGCCCAAAGCCGATATCATATTGTGAGTGTGTATCTCTTTCTTTTTCTCCGAATTGTTTCGCATTTCGATATACAAAAAAGCGACAAACTGTGAAATTAAATGAGTGAGAGAGACACTAACAGATTGGAAAGATACTTTGTTTATTGTCTGTTGTAATACCCAATTTTCCGCCTATTCGCTTCTTTTAAACTTTTTCAAAGGCGCGTGGTTTTTGCTTTTTCGGGTTTTGACAAGATAGCAATATTATTGAGTGATGAGTGATGATTGATAGCTTTAAAATTTTACATCATAACCCTGTGAATCTAGTCGGCTGGTGTGACGTTGACGCGTTGCAGCTTCTATGGCGTGTTTTCTGTAATAGAAACCCTCCCTATGCGTGCGTTTTGAGATCAATTATCTCGGTTTCTATGAGAGACATCAAAAATGTGTCTACTGATAAAATGATTATGATATTGTGGTGAACAATTTATCAGTTGACACATTTTTGATATCTTGCATTGGAAGCGAGATAATTGAGCTCAAAGTGCGAGGGTGGGCTTCTATTAGAGCATTCAGTGGTTTTTGGCTTCTTTGATTTAAGGTCGTTCGGCCTATCTTTTATATCCAAAGGCGTACTTCTGGACCCTTTAAAATCCAAGGCATTAAGAATCCTAGATTCTCTGGGATCTAGACATCCTAACATCTTAATTCCAAGATCAGTGTTCTATGGTCCCATATTCCCCACCTGTCCATCAAAAAACAACAACAATCACAAAATGAGTCATCTCTTCTAACACATCTCTTCCCTGTGATATTTTTCCAAGTGATAAAATAAGAAAGACACATATCTCTCTTTTTCTCTGTGCACTCTCGCCAATACAACTCTCTCTTATTTTTTCAACTGTTAAAAGGAGAGATGGAGACCCCATTTCAAGGCAATAGCTTCAATTTCCGTTCTTTTTTTCTCCATTCCAATCTTCTTTTTCTTCTTACTCCCAAAAAAAAAACTGAACCCTCTTCAATTTAAATGGAATTGGGAACCAATTCAATTGGGTTGAGAAGAGAGGAAATGGAGAGAAAAAAGCTAATTGAGTTTAGTTCCCTTCTCCTACCGTAACCCAGTGACACTTTTCGACTAAAGTTCCTCTTTTGCAGGAAACTCAACAAGAAGAATCATTGCCCAAAAAGCCGAGAACACTCGCCGAAATGTCTCATGAGTCCGCTTTCGTAAGTTTTCAGAAAAACCTGATATCAGATATTAGACCCTAAAGGTTTTAATTGGCTTTCCGACCGATGTGATGACACAAAACAAAATTCTCAATTCTTGTTTGTTATCACGCCACAGAGAATTTTTCTATCAAGGTCATTTGAGAAGTAGATGATATCAGAGGAATTCAGAATTAAGAAAAAAACTAGCATCTTGACATTTTTCAGCCAGTTCCATACCGTAGCAAGCTCACCGAGCCGTTCGAGCCAGGACAGACACTCATCGTGAAGGGAAAGACTGGAGAGGATTCGATCCGGTAAGCAGGGAATCTTGCAGGGACATACTGACACACAGATAGACACATAGATTGGAAGTTTTGAGGGTGAGAGACGCAGAGAGACGAGATCGCTCTCGTTGTCTGCGTTTCTCTATACAGCTTTAAAAGCATATAACTGGCGTTAGCATTGACCAAAATGAATGAGAATTACACCATTTTGAAGAGGATTTCAATTGCTTTTAAGTGATACAAAATGTTCTTTTATGTAATTTTCGATTTGAAGGCAAATTCCAAGAGAACAAAATGGGGGTTTCAGTTGATTTTGGGTTATTTTGACAACCAGAAGTCTGGAGCTCGCCTGACAGGTTACTGATAATTTTGAAAACTTTGGGCGGTGTAAAACCGACCTAGATTGAAAACTTTACAGAGTTTTTTGAAAATTCTTAGTTATCATTTCTGAAGACCACCCCCTTTGTTTTTGTACTGGAAACGGTGTGTCCTACAGAAATTGGAAACATCTAAAAACTGGGGAATTCTGAGAAATTCTGTAAATGCAAAGTTTTCAATCTAGGTCTGTTTTACACCCTCCAAAGTTTTCAAAGTTATCGGTAACCTGACAGGCGAGTTTCAAACTCCTGAAAACGGTCAACTGAAAATATGCTTTTTGAATTGGCTGGTACGGTAGATAGATAGATATTGACAGGATAAGGACTAGCTAGGATTCGAATAATCCCAAATTAGGACTGAATGAGCTCCGATCATTAAACCCTTTGAAAACTTCCGATCTTTGCAGCTTTACCGTGAACCTTCACACCGCCACCGCCGACTTCTCCGGAAATGACGTTCCACTTCACATTTCCGTCCGCTTCGACGAGGGAAAACTCGTCTTCAACACTTTCGCCAAGGGAGAGTGGGGCAAGGAAGAGCGCAAGTCGAACCCATACAAGAAGGGCGACGACATCGACATCCGCATCCGCGCCCACGACTCCAAATTCCAAATCTTCGTCGACCAGAAGGAGGTGAAGGAGTATGAGCATCGTGTGCCACTCTCCTCCATTACCCACTTCACCATCGATGGAGACGTTCTCGTCAACTACATCCACTGGGGAGGAAAGTACTACGTAAGGAGACCAGGATACAGTTTTAGATGATAACTAGTCATTTTCAGCCAGTTCCATATGAAAGTGGACTCGCCGCCGAGGGACTTGCTCCAGGCAAGACTCTCACTGTCTTCGGAATCCCGGAGAAGAAGGCCAAGCGTTTCCACATCAACCTTCTCAAGAAGAACGGAGACATCGCTCTCCATTTCAACGCTCGTTTCGATGAGAAGGTAGGCGTTCCTGGAATTTGGGATTCTAAACATGAAGTTTTTTTACAGCACGTCGTGCGCAACTCGTTGATCAACTCCGCCTGGGGAAATGAGGAGCGTGAGGGCAAGATGCCATTCGAGAAGGCCGTCGGATTCGACTTGGAGATCCTAAACGAGCCATACGCTTTCGCGGTAAGTGGTTGGAGGAGGTCCCAAGTCAGGCTAGGCTAGATCAGGCTAACCCAAGTCAGACTTGACTAGGCTTTACCTAGACAAAAGCAGTCCGAGTTCCTATGATTCTATAACAAGAACCGTTTTCAGATCACCGTCAACGGCGAACGCTTCGCTTCGTACGCTCACCGTCTCAGCCCGGACGAGGTCAACGGACTTCAAATCGGAGGAGACGTCGAGATCACCGGAATCCAAATCGCCTAAATCTTTGCCCCATTTTCTCAACCTTTTTCCTATCCATTCTGCTCCAAGCCCACCCATTCTTTTTCACCCCCAAACGCTCTTTCTCTGCAGAAAAAATTCATTTTAAAAAATCAAAAAAAATCTGAAAGTTTCCAAAAACTTGTGCTTGCTTCTGCGCTAGCTTTTTTATACTATAAGCTGTATATTTTCCATACTAGTCGCCCCGCAAAAAAATTAAAGTTTCTGTGTGTGAAATTCTAAATTTCGCTTGATTGTAAATCCTTTTCAAAAAAAAAACACAATTTAACTGCAGAATAAAAGTCTCCGAAAAAGCAAAAATCGCGTGTTCTTTTATTGGTGTGGAGTTTTTAGGTGGATAGTTCATGGATGCAGCAAGTACCACGTTGACTGGAAAAGTCTGGAATTTTGAGATTTCAAATTTGGTCAATCGAGAGCACACAAAAACCATTGGTTTTCGAAACTGAATGAGGTAAAAATGTGAAATGATGATGTGCACTTTTGTTTTCCTCGTTTCTCTTAACTCAGCTAGGACAATAATATGTGTGTAACGGGATATGGTATATAAGATGATAAAGTTGTTCACAATAACTATCATTTGCCCTGCTCTCATTCCACTTGCGAACAGGATGCCCCTTTCGAAACCCACTGTTTTTGGGTTAAATTTCTGTAAATTGTTTATTTTTATTTCTAACCTGAAAGTATCCGATATTCATCACCGCCTGGTGGAAGTTTACAAAGATAATGCCCCCATAGAAACGCCGTTGCAAATTGGGTTGGCAAGTTCAAGAACCAGGACTTTTCAATGAAATATGAAACTTGCCCCGGACGACCAGTTCTTCGAGATCTAGGCAAGCTGAAAAATCTAGTGGAACGGGACCCTTTCCAATCTACCCGTGAAATGTCAATCACTTTAGGGACAACCCATTCCACTATTGAAAACGGATTGCTAAAGTTGGGAAAGACAGAAAAAATTGGACGACAGATACCTTACCGTTTTGACCGATTTTGATGTACAGCTGAGAGTGGAACTTCTTGCTCTACTCGGGAACTTTGAGCGGCTGAATCACATTATCACCTTGGATAAGAAGAGGGTCATATACACTAACCATCACGGAAAAGCCCAATGGCTTGACTTCGATAGACAGTCAGTAGGCGTCGTCAAACAGGAATTTCACCCAGAAACAGTAGGTATCAAAAGGGGCATCCAGTTCGCAAGCGGAATGAGAGCAGGGCAAATGATGGTTATTGTGAACAACCTTATAATCATATATACCATATCCCGTTACACACATATTATTGTCCTAGCTGAGTTAAGAGAAACGAGGAAAACAAAAGTGCACAAAGACTTATTAGCCAACCTAATACTTTGTTATGTCTCCTAGTAGACCTTGCCTGTCCAGTTTGAGCTCAATTATGTCGGCTCCTGTTAAAGATATCAAAAATTAATCAATTGATAAAATGTTTGTGATATTATGGTTACCATTTTATCAGTTGACACAGTGTTGTTATCTTTTTTTAAGGGCCGAGATAATTGGGCTCAAAGTGGACAGTCTTTACAGTATTCTATTTGAAAATGCGCAGACAAACTTTGTAATTATTTATCTCGGCTCCTGTAAAAGATATCAAAAAGTTGTCAACTAATAAAATGTTACTTGTATTATGGTAAACATTTTTTATAGTTGACAACTTTTTGATATCTTTCATAAAACGCGAGATAACTAAATTCGAAGTTTAAGTCGCGCTCCATTAAAGTCGCGGTATTCTATTTGAGTGAACGCAAACAAACTTTCAGCTTAATATTTTTGGTTCCAAGAGGAGATATCGAGAAGTAGTCAACTATCAAAATATGACTGATGTTTTTATAAACATTTTATCAGTTGAACACTTTTTAGTATCACTTGTAGAAATCGAGATAATTGAGCTCAAAATTGGCGATTTTTGTGGCACTATTAAAGTTGCGGTATTTTATACGAGCTGAATTATCTCCGTTCCCATGAAAGTTATCAAAAAGTGATCAACTGATAAAATATTTTTGATATTATAATAAACATTCTATTAGTTGACACATTTTTGTTATCTTTAATAGGAGCCAAGATATTTGAGCTCAAAGTTGACGGTTTGGGTGGCACTTTATAAAAGCGTTTTCATTCAAATTGTTAGCGTAATAAAGCTTTTCCCTCAGTTTTAAAGTCTCTTGTTATTTCAGCAATTTAAAGGAATATCCAGAAAATGCTCGGGAGATCCGTCAAACCGTCGAACGCCGTCGTCATTATTTGAACATCGTCTACGCCACATCGATTCTGGTGGTCTGTGCTCTCAATAGAGCGCATCTCCTCAAAGTTTAATTTTCAGACATTCCAAATGGCAACCACTATAGGATGGCAAAATTATCTTTCTGAAGCGTATGCTCATTTGGCTGGAAGCAGTGATAATATTCTCCATGGTGTGATGATGTTGTGTTTAGTCCTAGAAAGTTTTCTCCTCTACATGGCGATTTACTCGAAACGGAGTGGTATATAATGAGGACAGTATTTCAGACATCTACTGAAATTTTCCAGCTCTTCTCGTTCTTCTCATCATCTTCTTCTTCATTCAATGTGCCTTAAAGCTTCTCCAAATCTCTATGACCTACCCTACGGCTCCTGGATACCGTAAAAAGTTCAGTGATCTCACACGATACTCTGAGTACGATGCTATGAATCTCACCTACGACGCCGTCATGTTCATTTGTGCCTTGATCTGCTGTGCAATGTGTTGCGCTGCCACGTGGCACTTCACTCCACTGGTCATCGTCAAAATGAACTACAAAGAGACACAAGAGGACGCGGTCGCACAGGCGATGAAAAAGTTGATGAAGACAAAATTGTGAGTTTCACATGCGCCTTGGGGAGAGTGGGGAGGTGTGGCTTCCGTAGCGAGTAGGCAGCGCGTCAGTCTCATAATCTGAAGGTCGTGAGTTCGAGCCTCACCGGGAGCAATTCTTTTTGTTTTGTTTTTTAGGACGACATATGATGTGTGCAGTTCTGATGAGGAATCGGCTCATAAAATCTCTCGTGGCCCGAATGGAAAACACTTCATTTCGAAGAGCCAACACAAGAAGAGTTTCAGTACTCAGATCACAGAAAATGCAGATGTGACTGTTACAACTTCGGGTGCCAGGACTAGCAAGGTATGAGGAGTGAATTTACGAAAAAAAGGAATATAAAACTTTTCAGAGCGAAGTTCGAGTCAATTAGAAGCAACTACAACATCATAATACAATCGAGAAGCGAAATTAAATATTTATTGGAGATTATAAAATAAAATTTTGATTATGACCTAATATTTTTCTTGGTAATTTTGAGCTCAATTATCTCAATTTCTGTGAATGATATAAAAAATTGGTCAATTAATATTGGTGATATTTTGATAAACATTTTATCGGTTGACAGACTTTCGATAACTCTCACAGGAAACGAGATAATTGAGCTCAAAATTGACGGTTTGGGTGGGCCTCACAAAACGTGGATAATCAAAAATTTGATGAAATCAATCTTTTCCGAACCTACGATAAGTTCGAAAAGTTGTTCTCGAGTCTGAATCAAATATGAATATACCACCTGGACAATGGCGTCTGGATGTGATGATAATGGTTCTTTATCAGATGGCCTTGTTCTTTTCGGCTCAACTGGTTTTCGTGATTTTCTTGGAGTACATGCCAAAGACTTACTGTAATACAGGTGGTTATCATAAAGAGTGGATTATAGCTACAGTAACCCTTTCAGAGAAGCAATGTTACAAGCTAACCAGCAAATGCTTATCGGATTATGACCGTAACGAACCTAACATTTGTCTAGCTCCAAATGGCTCAAAATCCCAATTTGACGAGTGTGTGGAAGATAAGAAATATCTGTACTTCAAGTCTGCTCAGTATGATTATCAACAAGATTGCACATCTTTGACACAGTATTAATCATCAGGCTTCAGATAATAAAAAAAAGTTTTCAGCTACTCTGCTTCCACCAATATGTACCTCGGTGTCTTGTTCGCCAATCTTGTCCTCGGAATTCTGGCTGATAAGCTTGGAAGACGTCCAATTTACTTTGCTTCTATCTCGATTGGTGTTGTCTCTTTGGTGCTTTCAGCTGCAATTCCATCCCTTACCGCTTTCTATATTTTCCGATTTACAACTGGAGTAGGTGTGGCTGGTGCTCAGATTGTTGGATGGTCCTATGGGTCGGAGATGATTTCGGCAAAGAGGAGATTTCAGTTGAGAACTTTTTCGAATTGGGTAAGCTTGATGAATTTTTCGTGAAAATATCTAATTCTTAATCCAGGCCAACGCTCGAATCCTTCTCACTTTTGTGGCCTTTATCACTCGAGAATGGCACACGGCTTCCTACCTATGTGCTGCGATTTCTGCTCTCATCTTCCCGATTCTCTGGAAACTTCCGGAATCTCCAGTCTTCTTGGAACAAAAGCATAAAATCGAAAAAGCCAACGAGGCGAGAGAACAGCTCGCAGATTTTTGTGGGCTCGAGTACGAGGAGAAGGAGCCGGAAGCCATAAATAATCTGAAGAAAATCACATTGATGGACATGTGGAGGAATAAAAGGCTGAGAACGAATTTCTTGGTTTTGTGCTTCATGTGGTTTTATGTCGGAATGGCCACTTATATAACGGATTTGAATGGTGCAGATATGTCGAAGAATTTGTATGTGGGACAATTTTTATCAGGACTTCTGCTGACGATTTCGAAAATTGTGAGACCCAGAATTTTTTCGGATTTTTGATATGCTCCAATTTTCAGGCTTTCGGATTTGCTGAACCTCGATTTGAATGGTTGGGTCGCAGAACGGTATTCTTATTCTCTCAAGGAGTTGCTATGATTGCATACGTGGCAATTCTGATTGCACTGTTTACAGATAGCAAGGTTAGTTTCCAGAATTTTTCAGTTTCCAAAATTTTTTTTCAGGAATCCACATGGTATCTTATCGTATATCTATGTGCCTACTCGTTCCAAGCTCTTTCTACGGAAACTTGCTACTTATCAGTGGCAGAACTGATACCAACTGATGTTCGGGTTACTGTAGCGGCCATTACTAATATTTGCCTGAGACTTGGCACCATTCTGGCGTCGTTGACAGTAAGAAATCGAACTATATAGAAAAATCAAGTGCAGATTATTCCAGAAACCTCTGAAATTTTCCTTCGAACCTGGACTCTTCCTGATCAACTTGGTAGTTTGCTCCATTGGAATCACCGTAGTCTACTTTCATCTAGAAGAGTCGAGAAATGTGAACTTGCAAAATGTTGGACAGGATGAGGTGTCGGATTCTGGAGACTCCCAGACAATGATAGAGAGTGATAAGAAATCAGGATCTGGGGAATCAGGGACAACAGAGGCTGCAGAAACTTCTGGAACCACTGAAGTCGAAGCTGAAAGAGGAGAATCGAATAGTAAACTCGCTTAACAAAAGAATAAATATTTGTATTTTAAATAGTGGCTGTTTGAAAGCTGGTGAAGGAGATCCCCAGGGTTTCAGTATAAACAACAACAAAAAATATGGGAACTTGTGTTCGCTTTTAGTTGTTGCTTTTTTGTTAAGAGAGATTTTGGGCTGTTAAAAACTGAATTTCTCATGATTTCGCCTTATGAGAAACGATACGTTCAGGCCGGAATTAAAACAAGCATACTTGTAAACGGGTCCCTGGCGGGCTCTGTCATGGTTTCTTTTAGACTAATTATTTTTGGACCAGCTGAATTAAATATGATAGATTTTAGCAACTTTCTTTTAGAATCCATATTTTCGAATTATTTAAATTGAAAACAAGAGAGCTCAACGTGTACTACAGAATGATATAACCTAAAAAGCTGTATCTTGCCTATGAAAATAGTTATGAGCCAAAAACCGTCTGAGCTACGCGGTCACAGCTTTATGGTTCATAGCTTTGTTCATAGATACAACTTTCCAAACAAAATCATTTTGTACTACTCGTCGAGTTCTATCATGTCAAATTTAGTTGGTACGAAATATTGATTTTCAAAGAAACTGTGACATGACCCGCAAAGAGCCGCCAGGGCCCGGTCGGCTGTCGGTCGGCAGGGTTGGCGGTCGGTCGGTCGGCTAGATTTTTTTAAAGACACTGTCCCACTTTTGACCAATTACTTTCAAAGAAAACAACTCTGTACTCTATATTTTTATTCTCCTTATTCCCTCTTTTTTCATTGTCTGTAACCCATAACTCTCTATCATTTCCCACTGATAAGCGTAGAGAGTTATTTGCCTCAGTGTAGTCATCTCTCCTCCTCTTGTTGTATAAAACTGATCGCTAATTTTCCATTCTCCATATACACACTCCCTCCTTCGCTAGGCGGATTCTTCGCCATCAGTTTCTCTGCGCCTCCCTAATTCTCACACTATTCTCAATTAGATCCGTGTTTCTCTTATCACTACCATTGATTTTCGCCCGGTTTCCTTTTGTTTCGTTTTTTTCTAACGCTATAAATCACGTTTTTCTTTTTTTATGCTCACCGAGTTAACATCAATTCCCCTAATTTCAGAATTCAGAATGACTTTCAAGTCCGATGTCGTCTTTGAGGAGATCAAGGAGAGAATCCAGACGGATAAGGAGATGGTCAAGAAGGTAGGAACCTCGTTCCGTATGACCATCGCTGGAGCTGATGGAGCTACCAAGGTATGGACAATTGACGCCAAATCAGACACCCCATACGTCGGAGATGACGGAAGCCGTCCAGTTGAGATTGAAATCAGTATCAAGGATTCGGATTTCATCGCTATTGCTCAAGGAAAACTGAAGCCAGATCAGGTAGGGGAGATGTTTGAAATTGAGAGTTATTGTAGCATCAGCCCGCTGGTTTGGTGACTACTGTCGACACTTTATACATGTACTTTGGGCCATTTTTTCTCGTTTTCTGTAAAAGATATCAAAATGTGGTCAACTCACAAAAAGTTTATAATAATATCAGCAACATTTTATCAGTTGATTGCTTTTTGATATCTGTGACAGAAACCGAGATAATTGAGCTTAAAGTGTAAGTGTGGGGTGGCCTTCTATAAGAGTGTTTACGGTAGATTAGTAGCGTTTGATAATGATGATCGTTCATAAGGTATACCATAAGTCAATTCATATGACAGTCATAAATAATATTTTCTTATTTTTTAAACATTTATAATGATTAGTTTTCAAACCAAAGTTACTGTATGCATGTAGACAACAGAATGAAAACCAAACTTGTAAGCGGGCCTAGGGCGGGCCTTCGTTGGTCCCGCCATAGTTTCTTCAAAACTTGATGTATTCAGACTGTCTAAATTGCATACGATAGAACTGGACAAGTACTACGAAAATATATGATTCCAAAAAATGTATCTTGCTTATGAACATAGTTATGAGCCAAAAACCGTCTGAGCTACGTGGTCACAGCTTTATGGTTTATAACTCTGTTCATGGACAAGATTCATCTTTTCAATTAATATCATAATGTTGTACTTGTCGAGTTCTATCATATCTAATTTAGTTGGCCCAAAAATATTTGGTCTAAAAGAAACTATGGCAGGACCGGCAAATGCCCGCCATAGGTCCACCGTTGATTCGCCAAAGGCCTGCCGTAGGTCCGCCATATGTCCGGCTTACAAGTATGACTAAAACTAGTTTATAAACTACCGTATTTTTCAAAAGTCCAAATTTACTGAAATATATTCTTCTAGGCCTTCATGCAAGGAAAGATGAAGCTGAAAGGAAACATCGCCAAGGCCATGAAGCTCCGCACCATCCTCGACCCGAAGATGCTCAAGGCCAAGCTCTAAATGCCCATTTGAACTTTATTGTATTAATCTCATTGAAAATACATTTTTGTGGCCATACTTTATTGGTAACATTTCAAAAGAACACCGAAAGGCGAAATTTTTAATGGAGGGCGAGAAAATAGAGAGAGAAAAAGAAGGAGAAGGTATTGTGCTGCATCAGAATACTTTTTTGGTCTTTTTCAGAAGAGAATTTAAAAGGGGGGACGTGTAAAATGTATTTTTGATGATGGAGGCAGTGGTATGGTAAAATGAAAAGCATAAAGAATATGGGAAAATGGAGGGAATTTGAAATTCCAAGAGACAGAAGACAGGGAAAAGAACCAAAACCATGTGATTAAAATATAGGGGGACAAATTCAAGTGATTCAGCAGATATTCGGAAAGAAGAGAGGGAAATGGGGGATTGGAAAACTAGGAGAGTTTGGTGTGAACTATTCAGATGGAATGACGGATTTATTGGGATGGTGAGTTGTTGACGACTTGGATGCCTGTCAACTCGATGTCTCCCTGGATCTGAAGTCCGGCGATGTCGTGTGGATCGACACGATGAGCATAGCTAGCGAATCGCTCTCCGTTGACGAAGATCTGGAGAAAATCGATCAATTCAGTTTAAAAATAGGTTTCCTAGGAGCTTAGAAATTCTCTAACGTTCCCAGGCATCTTCTTTGAAAGAAACTTGGAAACGGGTCTATAACGGACCAACGACGGACATAGTTCCTTTCAGGTTTAATATTTTTGGACCAAAAACCTTATATATAATATAACTCAATGAGTACTACTAAATGATACTAAATAGGAATCTGTAACTTGTCGTTTTTAAACAAAGTTACAAGCCAAAACCATCTGAGTTACGCGCCTATAGCTTGGCTTATAGCTTTATCCACAGACCAGGTACAGTTATACAAACAGTATTTTTTTGTAGTCAACGTATAGCTCTTTGTTGGTCCGTTTTGGATTCGTTTTCAAGTCTTCTTCAAAATAGTTTTTCAACTAATCGAAACTTCCAACTGTGCTCACATTTAACTTTCTAGGTGCTAAAATTTGAAAAACAACGTTGTAGAGTTCACGGTTAAAACGTTAGGAGAGTTCAGACGACGAGAGTGTCTTGTCGTCTGCACTCTCTTACACAGTAGGTACCATAATTTTGATATTTTGAGTGACTATGCCCCTTTCTCTTAAGCCTATACCTACACCTCCACCTTGGAAAAAAAACAAATCCGCTTAAAATTCAATTTTTTTTTTCAAAACGTGACTCCTGTCAATCAAGCTCCTTATCACAAAGTTATGTCGGCAACCACCTTCCCTAACCAAAATAGACTAGACTGCAAAGTTGTCTATTCCAAGACCCCCGACCAACCTGGAATGCGAATTCCTCGTTTCTGATTTCCAAATCAAAAGCGGTGAGACGCTCGAACGGATTCTTTCCCTCGCGCTCCTCATTTCCCCACTCTCCGTTGACAAGAGAGTTGCGAACGACGCTCTGGAAATTAATCAGCATGCTTTTGATTTTAAAAACTTATTAGGAACATAGGAACATCCATCAAACAACAAAGAATTTTCACTCAAAAAGCCCAGAGATTCAGGCCAAAGATTAGTTAGCTCAGTTTAGGCCGAATCTCCGGGCTTCAAGACATCGATATAGCATGTGCTCCAAACAAACCTCGTTGGATTCAATAAAAGGATCGTAATCCTTCTGAAAAGGTTGGGATATTATGATTGGGCATTATTTTTTAGAATTTTTGAAAAAGTTAGAACTGAACATAGGATAATATAGATTCTCTCCGAATAAGGCTTCCATTCCGGTCGAAAATCGACGACCACCGAAAAAAAATCTGGAGAAAATAAAGCTAAAAATTTACTTCAAATTTATCAAAAAACCAACATTCTAGGATTTCTAGAAGCTGAGATACACCTCTTCAAAGTTTCGCAAGCTAGAGACGCAGACAACGAAACACACTGCGTCTCTAACCTCCCAAACTTCAAATGACTATATCTCGGTTCTTAGAAGGCGTAGAAAGTTGGTTTTTTGACAGAATGACAGGAATTTTCTTGCTCTACAAGCACTGATTTTTCCGACCAAATGGAAGCCTTTATCTCCGACATCCCCCCGTTCACTAGAAAAAAGAACCGAAAATTTGAAAGAAACGTCACAAAACACAATAACCAAGAGAGATAGGAATTACTACACAATATCAATGATATAACCTACTCCAGGGGTCGGCTTAGCGCACATAAATCCATTTCCCTGAAATTTATTAGCCTAGTTTCTTTTTTTTCAAAAACAATGGTTATATTTTCTAGAAAAATCGCTCTAGAAAGATTCTAGAAAATTCTCACCTTCTCGTCGAAGCGTGGGTTGAAGTGGAGAGCGATGTCTCCGTTCTTCTTCAACAAGTTGATGTTGAACCTGGAGAAATTTTCAGATAGAACGCTTTAAGCAAAGAGTGTATTCTTACTTCTTGGCCTTCTTCTCTGGAGTTCCGTAGACAACGAGTGCTTTCCTGGGACGAGACCGTCGGCGGCGATTCCGCTCTCGTATGGGACTGGCTGGAAATTAAGAGCATACAAATTCAGGCAGACCGGCTTAAAACTAACATAGTACTTTCCTCCCCATTGGACATGGTTGAGCACAACGTCTCCATCGATGGACAAGTGAGAGACCGAGTTGAGTGGAATGCGATGCTCGAAGTTCTTCACCTCCTTCTGCAAATTTCAGACTTTTTTAGAAAGCGTTTTCTTCCGGGTCCCCCCTTTTTTGTTTGTTTTTTTTCACTTTTCTTCCAAGTGTTTATAATTTCCCGGTGCTGTGACCCAGACTTAGTTCCCATCATCAGACCTCACAAAAAGATTTGCGACAACGACGACGACCCCAAAAAACAAATTTTTTGTTTGCTTTTTTTTGAAGAAGCGGAACGACAAAAATATGAGGATTTGAGCGGCAATTATGCGATACTTTTTCTTTGTCTCTTTTATAATTGTGGGACCCGGGAAAGCGAAACATAGTTAGAACGGAAATCGTAAACAAATTTTTAAAGGTTTTTTTTTGAGTGGGAAGGCACTTTGGAGCTTACAAAAAGAGAAAAAGTTCAAAGCTTGAAAATAAGGGATTTTCAGTAATCTGATTTTGGATCATGCAATTTCTTGAAGTTCACTCAATACGTGCACTTCGAGCTCAATTATCTCGGTTCCTATTAGAGATATCAGAAATCTATCAACTGATAAATTGTAATCATAATTGAATCAATACTTTATCAGTTCGCTGATTTTTGATAACTTTCACAGGAACTGAGATATGGGCTCAAAGGTCGAATCCACGTTGACTGGAGCGAGGTTTGTGACCAGGTCTTTTGGCAAAAAGTTCAAAGCTTGGAACTATGGAATTTTTGTGAATCTGACTTTTCATTGAGTTGTTTCATTTGGACCACACAGTTATAAAATGTTACATCGTTATGATAATTCTGTTTACAGATCCTGATAGATCCGGAATACCGTAATCCCTCTAATAGACGCTCACCCAACAGTCAAGTTTGACCTCAATTATCTCGATTCCTGTGGAAGACGTCAAAAAATTCCAACTGATAAATTACTTATCATGTTATCACCAATATTTTATCAGTTGACGGATTTTTGATATCTCTCATAGGAACCGACATAATCGAGTTTCCCATTTCTTCCAGAATCATCAAAACTACCGTAATCTTTGTTTTTTGTTTTCTAGCTTACTTGTCCTACAATTTCTCAGAATTCCAATCTATCAAGACAATGTCAAATGCTCGGCCTTATCTAGATCTGAACTTTTCTTCCCCTCAATTTCCTCCCTAATGTTCCTTGTTTTTGTTATTTATGTTTCTTCAAAAATTCCAAGCATATTTCCTTCTTTTTTTCCCCGTCTGTCCCATCAGATTTCCTCCAAATAAGGAAGAAAAAGAGGATGAATGAAGATAGCAGTTTGGAAAAGAGAAAAACCAAAAAACATAAGTGATGCTTCTTCTTCTTCTTCTCCGTGTGACTCCATTTTTTGCCCCCATATCTCTTTCACTCTCCCTGTTCGGAATAAAAAAAGACGGTTCCCAAAGGTCCCATAAATGTTCGTCCCAACAAGAAATCGTGCAGCACGTTTTCTCTTTCAGAAATCGCTGATGACTTTCCAAATGTGCTCTTTCTAACATCAATTGGGTTTAGTAACAGAAAAAGAAGTAGAAGAAGAAAAAGGAGAATCGAAATTATAAATTATTCATCATTTAGGTTTTACTCCCAAAAAAGGAGAGTCAAAAGTGTGAAATGTGTGTCAAGCGGAAGGGATCGGAGATCGAGAATCACCCCAACTTCCTTTTTCTTCCCGCCAAAAAGTTTTCCAAGTGGTCAGAGAGGAGCAAAAAGAGCTCATCCTAAACCTCAAAAATAGACACATTTTCCCATGGAATTTAGAGACTGAAATATGCAAAAAATGACTTTTGGTGGGTGGGTGGGTATCCGAGGAAGTTCGAAGATTGAGAGGCTTGCATAAAGGTCGGTCAAGAACCGGCGACCGCCAAGGCCGTCGATGGACCGCCGATGGACCGCCGACGGACCGCCGACATAGTCAAGATGGCGAAATTGCGCGTCGACATGCCAGAAAGTGTTTTTGTACAAAGCTTTAAAATTCAGCCCAAATTTTTCATATCCTCCAACGCCTACGGGTAAACCCACAAACCACCCACCCCGCCAACTTTGAGCTCAATTATCTTGGTTCCTGTGAAAGATATTACAAATCTGTCAACTGATAAAATACTTACCATAATATCACCAATGTTTTATCAATTGTAAATTTCTTGATATCTTTTGAAGAATCTGAGTTAAATTGGCTCAAATTTGAAAGATTGGGTGGCATTCAATTAGTTTGTTTCGTCAACTTTGAGCTCTTATATCTTGGTTCCTGTGAAAGATATCAAAAATTTGTTAACTGATAAAATGGTGTTTATAATATGATAAATAATTTCTTTGTTAAAAACTTTCTGATATCTGTAACAGTGACCGAGATATACGGGCTCAAAGTTGAGGACTTCTATTAGAGGCAGAATCTCTCAACCCCTCAGTTTTTTGAAGTTTTTTTCTCTACCCGGTTTCAAAAAATAAACCTATAACAAAGTTCAAAGTTCTAATTTGAAATGGCTATCCGTCTTTTTTTTCTCCTGCTGATTTTTGAGATGATGGACGGGACCCCATTTCGAATTTTGATGCAGCTGCTCTTCTCGTTCCACTCACACCTGTCAAGCCCCATATTCCATCATTTCCGTCGATTTGTTCTTTTCGTTTTCAAAAAAGCAAAAAAATAGGAAAAATGTTCGTAGACTCCACCATTTTATAAACTTTTGCCAAAAACAATTATCCCATTGTTTCAAGTGATTTTTGGTAAAACAAAAAAGTAAATTCTTTTCTTTTCGTTTTCGAAAGTCTTCTATGAGGAATGAGTTCACTGGGTCCCTGAGGAGCCCAAAAACTCTTTTGCCTTCTGACGTTTGATACCCTGTCAGAAAATTTTTAGCCCTGCACTTGACGGGTCAGCAGTCCCAAGAAGGAATTGGTCAAAAAATGGAACTCACATGGTTGATGGAAATCTGGAACTTGGTGTCATGAGCACGAATACGGATGTCGAAATTGTCGCCCTTCTTGATTGGATTCTTGGCGCGCTCTTCTTTTCCCCAAGCTCCCTTGGTGTAGGCGTTGTAGACGATCTGAAATTTTGGATTGGAAATTCTAGAACGTTCTGGAGACAGCTGGTTGTCTTTTTGTTTGCAGATCAAATCTGGTAGATCAAATACCGAAATTTGATCCGATGTTCAAAATAGAGTTCTAGTATGCTCATGAAAGTTTCAGCTAGGCTGAAATAGTTTTGTTTTCTAGTTTAAAGCTTCGATTTCGGTCACCTTCAAATCTTATCTTCAAAATTGTCCAAAAAACCAATTTTCTAGCTCACCTAGCAGCTGAGATACACCCCTTCAAAGCTTCGCAAGCTAGAGACGCAGACAACAAGGCACGCTGCGTCTCTAACCTCCCAAACTTCAAATTACTGTGTTTCGGTTTCTAGAAGGCCTAGAAAGTTGGTTTTTTGAAAGATTTACAGAAAATTTTTTGCTCTAGAAGGTCATATGCAAAATAAAGAATAATTCAATCTTATTAGTCGTCCGACCGCCGACCGATCGGCGAATCCGCGCGTCAACATGTGATAGTGATTGCTGACGCAGCATTTTATTTCACGACGCACGAGGCATTTATTGAATGTGTCGTGAAATGAAATGCTGCGTACGCAAACACTCTCTGTAATATTGACCCCGAAGTTCACGAATTTGTTGGGTGGTCGGTCGCCGTCGATCGGCTGCGTCGGCGATCGGTCGGTTGGCTAAACTTCTCGACCGAATGAAATCCTTATCGGGGCCTAGTTTTTAAAAATGCGTTAGTTAGGCCAGTTATACCCTCATATTCTTTAAGATTCCGAGATCCGGGAATTCAAGAATGTTGAATATGCAGGTTTTTTTAATTATCGATTTCTAGGAATTTTGAATTTCAGATTCATACTATTCTGAAAGAATCGAATTTCTTAGATTCATTGAAAAATTGTATTTTCCTTCGAATTCTAGATTGTCAGATCTTCGAACCATATGAAGGATTCTAAAAACCTGAATCTACAGATTCTAGAAATCCAAAAAAAACCGAGATTATCTATACATGTATTCAAATAAAAAAAGGGTGTGAAGTTCGAAAAAACATGCACATATAGAAAATTCTAACATGTGAGAGGGGATAAGAAAAGATCCATAGAAAACATATAGAAACCTACACTTGATCTGAACGTTTTTTCTCGTTGCCATTTTTCGAATATGATCTGAAACCCGTGGATTTTTTCGCTAGGTGCATTTGTAGCATCTGACAAATCACTTTTAGCTCTTTCTTTCTTTCTATTTTCCATCAATCATTTTCTCGGCTCCTGATGGATCGAGAGGGGAGTGTAAACACATCATCAAAAAGAAATCAAGACACAGAAAAAAACGAGGAAGCCAATTTCCTTTTGATTCTGGTTAAGGGGTTCCTGGTCCCCATTTAACTTGTCTCTCCTCTTTTTTCCCCCGCGTTGAACCTATTATTCCCCAAATAGGGGAGCCTTATATGGTTGATTGAGCATTTTATCGGGCGGAAACACCACTTTTTTTGGCTCGTTTGTTTTAGTTTATTTTAGTAGTACCCTCCCGTTTCAAAAAGTTCATAAATCTACCTTTCCCTCATCGAAACGGATCGACAGATGGAGTGGAACGTCGTTTCCAGAGAAGTCTGGAGAGTCCTTATGGAGGTTGATGTTGAATCTGAAAATAGGAAATTGTGGGATTGAAAGAGTTATTTCCATATGCAGTCTTTTGATTTTCAGCCAATTTCAGAAGTTTGGAGCTCGGTTGTCAAGTTTCTGATCACTTTGAAAACTTTGGAGGGTCTAAAACAGACCTAGATTGGAAACGTTGCATTTACAGAATTTTTTGAAAATTCCTAGTTTTTCAGCTGTTCGCCGACACCATTTTCGACCTGTTTCTGTACTGAAAAAAGTCAAAAAAGTTTGAAATTTGAAATTTTCCGTTCAAAAATGACTAAAAATCATGGAAATTCGGTTTCAATTAATTTTGAATTTTGTACTTCTCGTGGACAAGTCGACGCGCGAAATTTGAATTTTTGTTTTACAAATCAGCTTAAAACTTGATTTTTGGGTATAAAAAATTCAAAAAAAGTTTTGGAATGCAAACTTTCAATCTATATTTGTTTTACACCGTCCAAAATTTTCAAAAGAATCGGAACCTTGACAGCCGAGCTCCAGGTTCCTGAAAATGGTATCGAAAATCATTGCTCACCTTTTCGACTCATCGATGGTCTTTCCACGAATGATCAGAGTTTGTCCGGGCTCGATGCGCTCGGTGAGCTTGGAACGGTACGGGATGTTCTGAAATAAGACGCCAATTTAGTTTTGGGGAAGTTTGGAATTCGCTTTTTGAGTTTTGCCCTCTGCCGAGAGAGCCGCTCAAAAAACAAGGCGATTTTCGGACAGTACTGCAAAAAAATCAAACTTCAAGGGACCAACTTGGATAAAAGGACAAGGACAAACTAAAGGATAACACTGCAATCCAAAGCTTTCACTTCCCTCGTAAAGGAGATGAAAACCACAAAGTGACACAACTAGGAAGAACTCAAAAAGAACTTAAAAAGTGATAGAGGCATTTTTTCGCATACGATATATTTGGCACAATGCCAAACCGACGGCATATCATCTCCAATTGTTTCGTAGCACGTGCTGAGGAGCGGATATCCAGATGATGTGCTCGTGGAGCACGATGTTGAGCAACTCGGCAGACACGGCGGCTCTTTTTGGCACTTTTTCTGATACTGTTGAAGCCATTGTTTGGGACTTAATTGACCGTGATGGTCGCCAAGTCCCAATGAGAGATTTTTGATGGAGAGCATTTAGAGTGGAATATGGAATGGAATATAAGTGAAGGCAAGAATGTGGGTCTTCTTCTCGAGAGAGAGCACACAAAAAAATGCTCTGGGAGGGCGTGGTGGAGAAAAGATATTAAGAGAGAAGAGAAAAAGAAAATGTGGGCGGAGCTTTTTTCTCCAAGCCTTGGGGAAAGAAGAGGCTACTATTGTTTTGACACTTGGCCACTTGCCAGCTGGATTGAAGAAGTTAAAGGGGTGAAGGCGAAAAAAAGCAGAGACAGAGAAACGAAAAATACACATAAAGTGTGATGTGACTTTTTGTTGAAAATTTTAGAAGTTGGGATGGACCCCCGCGAGGAAAAGTTGGAATAGTGGTTTTGAGTACAAATGTCAACTTGTTGAAGTTAGAGATTTTTTGAAACTAGGCAAATTTGTTTTGGGAAAATTTTAAAATGTTATAATTTGAGAACCATAAGAAGTCTGGGATCTAGAAATACAGGAATCGAGGAATTTAGAATTCTTGAAAACTTGGAACCTCAGAATCTCATCATTTTTTTTATAATTTGGAATCTCAGAATCTTAGAATCTTAGAATCTTAGAATCTTAGAATCTTAGAATCTTAGAATCTTAGAATCTTAGAATCTTAGAATCTTAGAATCTTAGAATCTTAGAATCTTAGAATCTTAGAATCTTAGAATCTTAGAATCTTAGAATCTTAGAATCTTAGAATCTTAGAATCTTAGAATCTTAGAATCTTAGAATCTTAGTATCTTAGAATCTTAGAATCTTAGAATCTTAGAATCTTAGAATCTCAGAATCTCGGAATCTCAAAATCTCAGAATCTCAGAATATCAGAATCTCAGAATTCCAGAATCTCAGAATCTCAAAATCTCAACATCTCAGAATCTCAGAATCTCAGTATCGGAATTTAGTAAAAAATCGTGAAATTTAAGAATCTGAGAAAACTGGAACTTCAGAACCTGGAAACTCAGAAACCTAGAAATCTTTAATTCTTGACATTTTGGAATACAATTTAGTAGTATCCTGGAATATAGGAATCTAAAAAATTTGGAATATTAAAACCTAGAAATCAGAAAATCTAGGAACCTTGAAACCTCAGAATCTCAGAATTTCAGAATCTCAGAATCTCAGAATTTGGAATCTTGAAATCTAAAAATCTAGAAATCTGGGAATCTAGGATTCTTAGAATTTCAAAATACATTAGTCTGAAACGTTTGGAATTTTGGATGATGACTCATCAAATCCTAGAACAATTGCTAATCTGTGATCTCAATTTTTCAAGAAACTCGCTACAGAAATCTATTTGAAATTTGAGAGAAGAAACTAAGAGGCAATCCCCAACTTCCGTCGGGACCCCCGTCCAATATTGGATTACACCCGGAATTTCCGTTTTTCATCTGATTTTTTTACGTAACCGAATGTTGCAAAAATGCAAAAAACACATTTTTGAAGGTGTCGGGACATGAAAAAAGATTTGCCCTTCGAGGGGTTGAACTTGTGGACCTAACTCTGGAAGTGCCGGATGAGCTACGGTGGTGCTAGCTAACGCGGCCGGGAGAGAGAGAGAAGAAAAAATGTACACCGTCACGTCCATACCGTAACTCCAAAAATACTCCGAAAAATCTCCAAGCTCAAGAAGGACAACGCGAATTTTGAAAAATGAGTATAAGTTTCTGTCTCAACGAAAGCAGAAAAAAAGAAAATCTTGGGGGAGAAGAGGAAAGAACAAAAGGACATAAAATGTTTATGGAAATCGGGGGCGTCGTTTCGTTGTCTCGTTGAGACAACAGAGCAACTTGTCTTTTTGATTTTTTTTTCTTGGGTCCATGGGACATCAACTAAAGTCTGAAGGAATAACTTTTTGAATTAATTTGAATGTCCTTGTACTTTTTCTTGGATTATTTAAAGGGGGACTTCGACCAAAAATTTTTATTGCATAAAAATGTGTTAAAAGTTATCTATTTTCCGAATATTATTGCGAAAAAATTCAAAAAAAACCCGAAATCCCCGAAAAACGGCGTTGAAAAGGAAGAAAATTCAAAAAAAGGTGCCGCCGGGGGACGAGGATTTTCAGTGAGAAACCTAGGCCACGGCACCTGACAGCCTTTCCTACGTGGCAAATTTTCCGGATTTTTTTCAATTTCATGTCCGGCAGGTAAAAAACGTAAAAAACCACTGTCGGCGACTTGAAAAAAAGGCTGTCAGGTGCCGTGGCCTAGGTTTCTCACTGAAAATCCTCGTCCCCCGGCGGCACCTTTTTTGAATTTTCTTCCTTTTCAACGCCGTTTTTCGGGAATTTCGGATTTTTTTTGAATTTGTTCGCAATAATATTCGGAAAATAGAAAACTTTTAACACATTTTAATGCAATAAAAATTTTTGGTCGGAGTCCCCCTTTAAAGATTCATGATCTGTACTTTTTGGGACGAAATAGACAAAATCAAAACCAACCTAAAGACACCGAAAAAGTTCTTTAAAGTCTCCTATGGGAGCAGCTTTAGGATGATTGAGCTGTCCCGAAAATAGACGTTTTGAACGGGGAAGTATATTTGTGGGGTGAGAAGAAGAAGAATGTTGGAGTTCTTGGGAGTATGTGAGAATGTGGAAAACGAAGAAGAAAAGTTGAAATGTTTTTTTCGAAGGTTTCAAAGAGAGAAATATTTCTTCAAAATCTGGAGAGAGTTTCGCAGAATCTCAGAGAACGCCTTCAGAATCAGAGCTTTCAAAATCCAAGCCTTCAGAATCTAAGAATCTAAGAATCTTCGAATCTCAGAATCTCAGAATCTCAGAACCTCAGAGAACCTCCGAGTTTCAGAATTTCATAATTTCAGAATAGCAGAATCTCAGAATCTCAGAATCTCAGAATCTCAGAATCTCAGAATCTCAGAATCTCAAAATCTCAAAATCTCAGAATCTCTGAATCTCAGAATCTCAGAATCTTCGAATCTTTGAATCTCTGAATCTTAGAAGTTCGAAATTATAGAACCTCAGAATCTCGGAGTTCCAGTGTCTTAGAATTTCACAATTTCAGAATACCAAGATCTCATAATCTCATAATCTCAGAATCTCAAATTCCTTTTAAAATCTTAGAATCTTAAAATCCTTGCATCTCTGAATCTCTGAACTTCTGAGAACGCCTTCAGAATCCGACTCTTCAGAACTTCGGAATTTCAGAATCTTAGAAAATCTTGAATCGTTCAAAGTTTCCGAGCATGTTCCAAACTTCAGACGCCTCTCCAGAACCCCTTTAGAATTCTCAATCTCTGATGCTCCATCAAACCACCCCCACATACACACATTTGAATCCATTGTCTTCGGAAAAACCAACCTCAATAGCAAGAGCGGCTCTTTTTTCGCTCTTCCCAAAGTGCTCATTTTAGCTCCCAATTTTCTGGCTCATCGACGCCATCGCCGTCATTCTGATTTCGTTCCTGGGTCAAGATCACGCGTGGAACTCATTTCAAGAATTCCAGAAACAAAAAAAACAACACAACATGGAAAAAAACAAAGACCTTCCGGTCTTCCGGGGGCCCGGAAGGATGGCATGCGTTGGAATTTTCGAGAAGAAAAACACTTACGTAAGCTTTCGCGTCGGCCATGGCTTCTCGAAGATGGACGGGGAGTCGGACGGTGGACCTGAAAATACAGTAATCCTTAATGATTCCGAAAAATCAATACTCGAAGAAGAAGAAGAGTTTTTGAAGAAGAAGAAGAGTTTTTGAAGAAGAAGAAGAGTTTTTGAAAAAAGAAGAAGAAGAAGAAGAGTTTTTGAAAAAAGAAAAGAAAAGAGGAAGAATAGTATATGTATTCGATTGATTTGTGACAGAGAGAGTCGATCGAATGGGATGGAATGGAAAAGTGGGCGGAGAGCAAGATGGTATGAGTCACGGAATATGCAACCATCACGAGATCCAGAGGGGGAGGGAAGAAGAAAATGCAAATTGAGTGAGAGGGTGATAAAACATTGATAAAAAATAGAATGTTGAGGTTTTGGGGAAATAAAAATGATGAAGGACCAAGAAGGGGGATTCGGGAAGACTAGAACATTTAGAAAACGAGAGGTTCTTAGAAAGTTCTGGAAATTCGAAAATTTAGTAACTTCAATAAAGCCTTGGATTCGAAAGTCTGGATTTGAAGATTCAGGAACTCTACAATTCGGAGATTTGGGAAATTTGGGATTCCAGAATTCCAATGTTTCCAATTTCTAAGGTTGGGAAATTTTGAGATTCTGAGATTCTGGAATTCTGAGATTCTGAGATTCTGGAATTCTGAGATTCTGAGATTCTGGAATTCTGAGATTCTGAGTTTCTAAGATTCTGAGATTCTGAGATTCTGAGATTCTGAGATACTGAGATTCTGAGATTCTGAGATTCTGAGATTCTGAGATTCTGAGATTCTGAGATTCTGAGATTCTGAGATTCTGAGATTCTGAGATTCTGACATACCGACCAACACACATGGATCAGAAGAAAAAACCCGGAAATAATGGAAAATGCCATCCGAACACATTTCAAAATTTGATGAAAAATCATATGGTTTTGTTTTGTTGACTGTCTGATTCATTGTGGTTTCCAGGGAAAAACAAACCATTGATGATCAATTTCATAATTCGAAACATTTTTTAAATAACAATTTTGAAATTGTAAAATGGGAGTGGCTTTTGAGATCTTTCTCGCTGTTGGGTTATACCGTGTTGCGTACTTTGAGCTCAATTATCTCGGTTCCTATAAAAGTTATCAAAAATCTGTCAACAGATCAAATACTGGTGATATCTTGATAAATCATTTCTCAATTAACGATTTGTTGGTATCTTTTGAAGGAACCGAGATAATAGAGCTCAAAGATGACGGTCTGGGTGAGCATCTATTAAGAAAGTACGGTATTTATTTTTCATATAAAATGATTATACCTCTGGGTTAACATGCCCCCATCAAGTAAAAAGTAACCATGGTTATTTTCAAAAACATTCTACAATCAAAAACTCACATTTTTCCTCCGGGGCAAAAAATGGAGTCACACGGAGAAGAAGAAGAAGAAGCATCACTTATGTTTTTTGGTTTTTCTCTTTTCCAAACTGCTATCTTCATTCATCCTCTTTTTCTTCCTTATTTGGAGGAAATCTGATGGGACAGACGGGGAAAAAAAGAAGGAAATATGCTTGGAATTTTTGAAGAAACATAAATAACAAAAACAAGGAACATTAGGGAGGAAATTGAGGGGAAGAAAAGTTCAGATCTAGATAAGGCCGAGCATTTGACATTGTCTTGATAGATTGGAATTCTGAGAAATTGTAGGACAAGTAAGCTAGAAAACAAAAAACAAAGATTACGGTAGTTTTGATGATTCTGGAAGAAATGGGAAACTCGATTATGTCGGTTCCTATGAGAGATATCAAAAATCTGTCAACAGATCAAATACTGGTGATATCTTGATAAATCATTTCTCAATTAACGATTTGTTGGTATCTTTTGAAGGAACCGAGATAATAGAGCTCAAAGATGACGGTCTGGGTGAGCATCTATTAAAGAAAGTACGGTATTTATTTTTCATATAAAATGATTATACCTCTGGGTTAACATGCCCCCATCAAGTAAAAAGTAACCATGGTTATTTTCAAAAACATTCTACAATCAAAAACTCACATTTTTCCTCCGCTTTTTGTGTTTTCCAATCAGCAGTATATAATCAAAATAGCCAAGAAGTCAATCGAGAAAAAGCTCAGATAACCTAGTGAAGTTAACCAGTTAACAGGTGGCTTCTATTGCTCCCGATCTTAGCCACTTTTTGTTTACCTCACTTCGCAAAAATAGTATAGAAAATGGAGAGACGCAGGAAATTGGAAAAGTTTGAAATAGTTTACAGTACAAATAGTTGAGGGGGAGATGATGGAAACAATAGTGTTATGATTTGGTTTAAAAGTGAGCAATGTGAAACTTTTTTAATCAAGAAAATGGATGGCTTATTTTTAGATTTTTGTAGACTATGAAAGACAAAAAACTTGAGAAAAATAATGTAGTTTGGCTTTTCAGATTCCTAAAATTTTTAATACAGTCCTGGCTGAGGCGCCTTTGGCGCATTTCCATAAGAATTATAGAAGCCCACTCTATACGTGGAATTTGAGCGCAATTATCTCGGTTCATTTGAAAGATATCAACAATTTGTCAACTAGTAAAATATTTCTGATATTATGATAAGTAGTTCAGCAGTTGGCACCTTTTTGATATCTTACACAGGAACCCAGATAAATTGGTTAAAAATTAGAAGTTCGGGGCCTGTCTATTACAGGATTCACGGTGTCTTGAAAATCTTCAGAATTCTAAAAAACTGCACAAAGTGAAAATCTCAAAATCTAAGAGCCAAAAAACCCAAAATGATTTTTTTTGAGTACTTTTACAATATTGAAACCTCAGAACCTTTCAAAAATCCATAACAAAGGTTTCAAAACTTTAGGTATTGAGAATCTAGGAGCTCAAACCTGTGAGCTCAAAAAAAGGCTACAAAAAATTGTCCAAAAATTGAGAACCTTATGATCTTCGAACATTATTTTACAGAAGCTGAATGTGTCTGGGACTCCGGAAATTCGCCTACTTTTATACAGATATTCTGAAACTGTACAGAACAAAAAAGTGAAAAAAAAACAGAAATACACAAAACTAATTCCGGGGGAGGAGCAGAAGTGAAAAAGTGTATATACATCTATCTTCTGTTGCTCACCGATCACTCTTCTTCTTCTTCTCTTTTTTCTTCTATTTTCTTCTGGTCTCCCATCACTCAAAAATTGGCAAAAAATGAAACGTTAACGAAGAACATATGAGTCAGTTGTGAAAAGATATTCGATATGTTGCCAACAAACCCTCTTCTTTTTCTTCTTCTTGTTTTTACTTTTTATGTTTTATTGGGACAGAAAAAAAAGAGAGAAAAAAAGAATTTCGGTTCACACCTCCCACAAGGAAAACAAAACATTTTTCGAACAAGAAGAAGAAGAAGGGAAGAAAATGTACTAATTAGAAAATTGGGAACAGAGATGAAAAAAACCGAAAAAGAACTGTAAAAAATCCTGTCGGCAAAAGAAGAAAAGAAATGTTTTTTTTTCCTTTTTAAGTGTTCTTTTTTTAGAAACTGGGAAATCGGTAACTTCAAAAGAAGAATATGAAGAGGTTCGATGGATTTGAAGAGGGGTATCTCAGAATTTTTTAAAATCACAGAATCTCCAGGATGTGGTCAAGAATTTTCAGATTCTCATACCATTCCTTATAATAGAACCCCCCCCCCCCCAAACTGTCAACTTTGAGCCCAATTATCTCAGATTCTGTGAAAGATATCTAATACTTGTCAACTAATAAAACATTGATGATATTATGATAAACAATTTATCAGTTGACAAAATATTGATATTTTTCACAGAAATAGAGATAATTGCGCTCCAAGTTGAGGGTCTGTGCGGGCTTCTGTTAAAGCAATTACGGTATACCGTCCATTTTGAACTCAATTATCTCGGTTCCTATAGGATATATCAAAAACTAGTCTACTGATAAAATATTGCTGATAATATGATAAACATTTTGTCATTTAACCACTTTTTTGATATCTTTTAAAGGAACATAATTAAGCTCAATGTTGATGGTCCGGGTAATCTTCTACATATTTCAGCAAATACAGTGTGCCTAAACTTCGAGCCAGCTTATCTCGGTTACTATAAAAGATATTGAAGATGTGTCAACTAATAAAATATTGGTGATATTTTGATAAATAGTTTATCAGTTGACCACTTTTTGATATCTTTTGCAGAAACTGAGATAATCAAGCTCGAAGTGAACGATCTGGGTAGGCGATTAAAGCAGATACGGTATTCCTAAACGACAACTTTGAGCTCAATTATCTCGGTTCTTGTGCGAGATATCAAAAATGTGTCAGCTGTTAAAATATTGGTAAAATTTTGATAAGAATTTTTTTAGTTGACAACTGTTTTATATCTTTCACACAAACTGAGATATCCAAGCTCAAAGTTGACGGTCCAGGTGGGATTCTACATTAGAGGGATTACGATAGTTTTGGAATTCGAGATTTTCGGAACTTCAGATTCCGTGAGGGAATCTCAGAGTCCGACTAGACAACAAGAACTCATAAAATTGGTGACTAAACTGAACAAAAAACTCGAGAAAAGCGAGGAAAAATAGGAACATGTTTCGTCGTTTAAGCGACACTTTTTCGTCCATTTCCAACGAGTCGAAAAAACAAAAAAAGCTCATAAAAGTTCTCCAACGACACCCTCACAACAAAAAATAGCAATACAATTTTTTCATCTTCTCTCTGTCACTAGAATAGTTCCGTCCGATCACCGCCAATATAAATTTTCAGGGCGTTTCATGTCTGAAAACCGGTTTTCACGCACTACTAACTGAGATGGAATTTTTTCGCTGGCCAGTGTGTCGCATAAATATTTTATCACTTTTTGTGTACAGGAGGGGGTACCTAGGTAGGTTATGTTGTTGATATGACAGTTTCAAATTCGAGGTGGCAGATTTTTTTTAATTCTAAAAACTGCAAAAGGATTGGAAATCTAGCAGTGTTGGCAGTACAGAGAAATCCAACAGACTGCAAAATTGGAATTTTTGGGGATGGGGAGTGAATCCATGTATGCATCTATGCATATTCGATTCATTTTCGACACGTTGGCATTGAAAGATGAAAGAGAGTGAGAGAGAGAGAGAGAGAGGGGGGGGGGGATGAAAATTTTCATCCGGAAAAGAGAGATATGAAAACAGAACCAAAAATAATAAATAAATACAGCGGCGGCACATATGATTGAGGGTGGAGAATAAGAGAGAAATGGATTAGGGTATTGAATAGTGCAACGTCATCATGAACGTCGAAAAGTACAAAAAATTAAAATGAATCAAAACTTCAGGAAACCAGATCATGGGATCAGGAATCCAAGGATCTAAAGATTATGGATTCCAGGTTTTTAAATATCACAGACTTGAGGAATGGCAAGGTTCCAGGAAATCAGATTTTCAGAATTCTAGAATGCCAAAATTGCAAGATTGCAGAATTTTCAAATTTCAGAAAATATGATTTCCCGAACTCTAGGAATCTGAGATTGCAAATTACAAAATTCTTGGATTCCAGAAATCAGCTATAGAATGTCAAGTCTGCAAGATTTCAGAATTTCCAAATTCGAGAAATTCAGATTCTCGGAATTCCAGGAATCTTAGATTACAAGATTTCAGAATTTCAGAACACCAAGTTTCCATAAATTGAATGTTGAAATTGCCTGATTTCAGAATTTCAAAATTCCGGGATTCCAGGAATTCAGACTTTCAGATCTCTAAGAATTCATGATGGCGAGAATTCTAGATTTCAAGGTTCCGGGAAGCGAGATGTTGGAAACTTTTTTAATTTAAGATTTTAAAATTCCAGAAAACCGGATTTACAGAATTCTAAAATTTGACGATTGCAAGATTTCAGAATTCCGAAAAAACTTCGAAGTTTAAAAATTCGCGAAAAAAGTTCTATTGGTTCAAACAGTGAAACCGAAACCCTCTTTTTCCCAGAATCATCGAAACCATCCCAAACATAAAGACGCTCCTCGAATCAAGAAAAAATTGGACAAAGTTTTGCCTTGTTCACTCTTTGGCAAAATGCCGTAGTGTGCGCAAACTAGGGGGCAGAAAGGCATCGAATAATAAAAAAATCGAGAAACATCGCAAACAAAAAAAAGTATACAAATATAATACATGTTGGTTAGTGGAGCGGGAGGAGCGGGAAGAGGGCAAAGAATCTATATAGAGAGAGGAGGGGATATGAAAAAGAAACGAAGGGGCGGAGAAGTTCATTAAAAATTGGATCAAATGAACTTTGATTCATGTAGTTTTCGCGGGAATTTGAAAACGAAAACTTTGATTAACGCGTTTTGGGCAACCTGCCGGGTGTGCCTAGGCCAAAAAAGTTGGTGGACTAGAAAACCCAACTTGGAAAAGTTAGGCCACCATGTTAAAGTGGGCTGGAAAACGCACCAGGTCAAAATCCAACCATTCCTAAGCCAGAAAAGTTGATGGCCTAGAAAACTACAAAAGTTAGGCCACCATGAAGCGCCATCCTACAGTTCCACTTTCCGCTCAATTATCTCGGTTACTATGAGAGATATCCAAAATGTATCAACTGATGAACTATTGATGATATTATGATATATATGTTTTCAGTTGAAAGTGCTTTGATATCTTTTGAGAGAAACGAGATAATGGAGCTAAAAATCAAAGAATATGGCGTTCTACAAGAGCATTTACGGGACCGATCCTCCTCAAAATTATTAGAGGATACAAGTGAATAAAAAGCGTTTCTAACAAAATTTGACAACTACAGTAACCCTTTACAAAACTTACAATTCTAGAATAAGATCCCAATCAAACCTGGGTATGTGTCTTGTAAAGATTTGAAAACTAGTTCTAGTTAAAAAGGACGCCTCCCCTCGGACTAATTGAACCTAATTGCACTATGATCAAAGAATCTGATTGTGGCTAATTGAATCTACGTTTTTCTCTCTCGAGTGTAACTTCTCCGTTTTCATACTTTTCTAGATTTCGTAACTCGTGTTTTAGATATTTCTGATTAAGGATGAAATATTAATATTATCAGTTTCGAAATAACTTCGTATAGTCAGTTATGAAATATCTAGGATCTTAAAAGCTCGTGAGTGTGTTTCCCATTCACACCGATTTTTCTAATTTCCAATGAAGTGGTCCTCGCACAATGGGAAACAGATGGTTTTGGGGGTCTGCAAAGAATTTGAGTTATGTAAAAAAGGAGAAAAAAACGAAGAAGAAGAATTATAGCCGTGAAATGATTGGAGGAAATTTGGAGGTGGTTGACCTCTTGAGAAAACTGCGACGGGTGGCGACAGGTGTTTTTGTTTGGAAGAGAAGATGGGCGGAGCTTAATTCCGAGAGAGAAGAAGAAGAAAAGAAAAGAAAATGATGGTGGGAAATCGAAAAGAAATAATGGTGTTGTGAGGTCCGACAATAACGGAAGAAGCGAGAGAAATTGGAAAAAGAGTGATTCCCCGCACCATATGTGCAATTTAGCTTAATTATCTCGCTACCTAGGAGAGATATCAAACAAATTTGATAAATTGTTTATCATAACTTCCCTGATATTTTTTTAATTGACAAGTTTTTGATGTTTCTGATGGGAACCGAGATAATTGAGCTCAAAGTGCACGTGTAGGATGTTCTTCTATTAGAGCCAGTACAGTAATTACGCTCCAGGACAATTATCTCGGCTCCTATAAGAGATATCAAAAATTTGTCAATTAATGAAATGTTTATCACTATATTACCAATATTTTATCAGTTGACAGTTTTTTTTAAATCTCTGATAGGAAATGAGATTGAGCTCAAAGTTCTCGTATAGGTGGGCTTCTATTTGAACTTTTTAACCAAAAAAAATCATACCAAAAAGTTCTTCACCTAATCCAAAATGCCTTCAAAAAAGAAACCGATTGAGAGGGTAAAGAGATGGAATGAAAAAAAAGTGAAAGTCGATCACTATTTTTTTGCCGCATCGGTGCACACACCCTACTTGGCAACATAACAACGACGGCAGAAAAAATAGGTGAAAAAAAAAACGTTGGGTGGAATATGTATGGAATTGAATTAGAAGGAATTGAGATAGAGAAAAAGGAGAAGGTCGTGACAGTTGAAGTGAAATAATAGAGAGAGAATGAGTGAAGGGAAAATTAGAAAGTGCGATTCTAATTTATGAATGACACGAAAAGGAATAGCAGGAAGTGTGAATGGGGTTCATTTTTGAGCAATGAGCAGATTGATGGGAATTGTTAGGAAATGAGTGATGTTTGAAAATAGCTTTTGAGCTCTAACAAGAGAAAAATATTAACTTTCCAGGTTACCAAAATTACATTACACCGAAGCTAGGCATGAAAAACAATCTGGCATGAGTATTTGATATAGTAAACGTTCAAATTAGAATAAATTAGATGAGTTTAAGTTGTCAGCCTTAAAATTATTGATTTCCTTTTTTCAAGTTTTTAAAATTTTAAAAAAATTTTTAAAATATCATAATTTTTGAAAAGTTTTGATTATCTGAAAAAGCAAGGCATTTCACATCGATTGGTGAAAAATGGCGTTTCTAGGTTACCTGGGAGCCGAGATACAGCCATTTGAAGTTTTGGAGACGAGAGACGCAGACAACGAGACCCTCTAACTGTCTGCGTCTCTCCGAAACTTTAAATGACTGTATCTCGGCTTCTAGATGAGCTAGAAACTTGATTTTTGAACCAAAACAAAGCGGGAAATGTGAGAAATCTTGTGAAGTCAAATGAATTCTGAATTAGGATTTAAGAAGCACATCTAGGTTAATTTTAAGCATACTAGTTGGAGCGCCAGAGGCACAACTAAAAGAAGGGCCGGACCTTCTAATGCAGATTTTACGATAATTTGGAAATTTTGCTTTAAAACTTACACACAAAATAAACTGACAATATAGATTCTTGAAATTTCTGAAATTTAAATTTAATTGAACTTTTTTAAATTATAGATTTTGAACTGAAAGTAAAAAAACAATACAAAGGTTAAGAAATGGTATTACTTTTATTTTATCTCGGTTCCTATATGAGATATCAAAAATGGGTCAACTGATAAAATGTTTGTGATAATATGATTATGATAAAGAGTTTGCCAGTTGACAACTTTTTCATATCTTTCACAAGAACCGAGGTAGATAAGCTTAAAGTTAAAAGTAAAGTGGCTCTTCTATTACAGGGTTACGGTGAATAACAAAACAAAAACATTCTTCAAATTCCCAGAATCCAGTTCTAACCGAATTCCAAGAACACCTACCCCATAAATTATGGGCCATAATTCCTAAAAAAAAACTGTTTCAAAGAACAAAGAACTCTGGGACAGAATGTGTCAATCTAACCAAGCGTGGGAGCGAGAGAGAAGAGAACAAGGACCAGCAGTTGGGACAAATGAGATTTTCAACACTTTCGGCCAATTTTCGGAAGAAAAAGAAGAAAGAGAAAACAGAAAAAGAAAGAAAGCAGAATAACATGGTAGTTGTTGTAGAGTAGCTAGCTGACCGCCTCGTATTGGGACGACGACGTAGCGACGAATTCTGAATAGTCAAAAGAAAGGGGGACACATACACATGCTTCACGGGCGGTCCCACTTTCCTCGTATTTCTTTTCACTCACTACTATTTTGCAACAACATGCACACAACACAGGATCCGATGGGGTAGGAGTGAAATAGTATAGAATAACACGAGAGGATCAGTCAGTGAGAAATTGAGATGGCCAGTGAGAGTCTCTCCTCCTCCTTCTGGTTGATGTTGTGTGGTCGGGAAGAAAAAGAAGAAGAGGAAGATGCACTAAAGAATTCGTTGGCACCGTGCCAATGCTAGATAGTGTTTGTCAATAAGAGAGCTGGCGAGAGAAATAGTGTGACATTCTGGAGAGAGATTGATGGGGAGGAGACGAGGGAGGAGATGAAATTGAAAATGATGATGGGATTTAGAAGGAGGTGCTTCCGGGCCAGAGAAGCTCAAGAGATTGCGATCATCGATAAGGAAATGAGACATTCGAGGCATGAAGATTAGTTGCATTCTGGTGGAGAGCACTTGAGAATAGAACGGATGATAAGGATCGGGATCTTTGAGATATCGTATTTTGCCAATTTCCTCAATTCCCACGAAAGGTTTGCAAAAATTTCAACTCTGAAAATTGTTTCCACAATGTCACAATCATTTTATTTATCAAAAGTTTTTGATCTCTATCTAATTTGAAAGCTCACCCAAACCGCCAACTTTGAGCTCAATTATCTCGGTTCCTTCAAAAGCTATCAGAATTTTGTCAATTGATAAAACTTTTATCATAATATCACCAATATTTTATCAGTTGGTGACTTTTTGATATCTTCTACCGGAATCGAGATAAATGAGCTAAAAGTTGACGATTCGGGCTTTTATTAGAGGAAATGCGGTAAATACTCAAATTTTTATCTTGTATTCTGATTTGAAATTTTTTGATCCTACAAAATTTATCGCATTTTCCGCTTTGTTTTGGCTCGAAAATCAAGTTCCTAGCACACCTAGAAGCCGAGATACAGCTATTCAAAGTTTAAGAGACGCAGAAAGTTAGAGTGTCTCGCTGTCTGCGTCTCTCGCCTCCAAAACTTCAAATGACTGTATCTCGGCTCAGAGTTAACCTAGAAACGTGATGTTTTCACCAAACTATGTAAAATGTTTCACTTTTTCAGGTAAACATAAAATCATTTTTGTCGAAAATTGAAATTCAATATTTTTTCAAAAAAAATTTTCTAAAGCAAAATTCGACCCAAAATTATTTTTTCGCGGGAAAAAAAGCCTTCTGCTTGAATCAGAAAAATAACTAAAAAGATATTTCATGTAAAATGAGATGACAAGTAAAAAACACACACACACGGACGCTATTTTGAAAAAAGCTCTGAAAAAGTGGTATTTACAGCTGAAACGGGGGAAGAGAAATAAGGAAAAAAGGAGGAAGCCGGGGCTGAAAAAGAACCCGCTACTGGAAAAATAGAAGGGAAAGGTGTATATTGTTGACACCGAATGCGAGAAAAAATAGAAGCTGAGAAAATTCTCAAGTGGCGGAAAAAGCCAAAACAACACAGTTAACAGAAAAAAGAGAATTAATGACGGCAGAAAATGAAAATTGGAAAAAAAGGAGTAGTAGTAATGTAGAAGAGCAAAAAAATGAGAAGACTGGTTAAGGGGATTACCAGAAAAAAAAACAGCAAAAAAAACGGGAGATGGCGTGTTCCGGTTGGAGAGATTTGTTTGGAATTAGACTGGAATAGTTAGAGATAGATACACTTTTATGAAATGATTGAGTCTTTAATACTGGAAAATTGGGATTGGTAATATTTTGAGAATCTGATTGAGGGGACAAAGCTTTCAAACTTTAAAGGGAGGAGGTTTCATATACCGTACTTCCTCTAATAGGAGCCCACCCAAGCCGTCTACTTTAAGCTCGATTATCTTCGTTCCCATGAGAGATATCATAAATTTGCCAACTAATAAAATATTGGTGATATTATGATAAGTATTTTTATCAGTTGACAAGTTTTTAATATCTTTCATAAGAACCGAGATAACAGAGCTCAAAGTTGACGGTAGGTTGGCTTCTATTAGAGTAAATACGGTGAGCAGATTCCTAAAAAATAATTTTGAAAATTTCAATCCACTTTGAAAACGCTCATTTCTGGAAACTTCCAGAAATCTTCAAGATATTTTTGGATACCCGCCAAAACTGGAACTTCTAGACCACTCTAAAAAAGCCTCGGAAATTAAAAACGGAGGATTTTCAGTTTTGGTGGAAATTGTTTAAAAAATCGAGGCTATTCATTATTTACCAAAAACTTGCATAAGAAAGGCCGCCTTAATGCAATGGTCCCTCTAATAGAACGTCATTCCGAAGGTACCTTTCAGCAATAGAATGGCTCTTGTAATAGAAATGCCTTTTTCAAAATGTGTTGTTTTGAAATGTTCCATAAGTGATAGAAGGGCCCTCCAGAGGTACCTTGGGACAATAGAAAAGACGGCCCTTCTAATACAGGTTTTAAGGTGTTTTTTTGCCAAAAAATGCAGATAATGCACTACAAGTTTTTGGTCGTAATCCTATTTTCATGGAAATTGGAAAAAAAGCAATGGCTTGAAATCCTCAAAACTTGGTCCCACCCAACTTACCGTAGTCCACCTCCCACAGGATAAACTCTAAAATCTCAAAAAATAGTCAAGTATAGTCAAAAAAAAGAGGTAAAAGTGAGGTACTTTTGGTTTGGGTTTCCTCTCACTAATCTCACCAATAAAATCTTCGTTTCTTTTCTCATTCGGTTTCTTTTACGATTTTGTTTGTCTCTGTCTCTCACTTCCATTTTGGTAGTAGATACTTGAAGAAGAAGAAGCACTCCATACAAATTAGATCCGCTTTTTCTTCTTCTTTTTCTTTCAGAGTGAAGGAAGAAGAGGAAGAACATGATTTTAATTTCAAAGATGTTGCCATTCGGCGGAAGAGGAAAAGAAGTAATTAAATTTTTTATTCAAATTCAGAGGGGGAAACGAACAAGATTTACATAGGAAATTGGGCGTTAGACTGGTTGGGTATAGTTGGCTAGTTTCTCAGGTTGAGCTGATAAAAAATTATTGATCATTTGATAGGTTGGACCCGGGCGATCAAGTGGAACAAAGTGGCCAGCACCCTGAAATAAGAAACGCTATCTTTAAAGGCGCATATCTCAAAAACTAAAAACGCTACATCAAAATTGTTAACTATAAAAATATAAAGCATAATATTCTACACATTTCGTTTGTTGACAGCTTTTTGGTAGAGCTCTTAGTTTTTGAGATATGCACCTTTAAAGTTAGGGTACCCCCAGAAGGACGCACCTCCATAGAGAGTCTACTTGAGACGCAGAGAAACGAGAATGTCTGTTTTCTCTGTGTATCTTATCTTTCACTCACTTTTACTGTAACAACATCAATTGAAATTTTCGCCCCACGCTGATTTGCTCCTTCGTATCTCATATAATATCCTGCCAACACCTTGTTGTCTGAATAGTACCATGGCTGATATTTCTGAGTCTAAAAACAAATCATCAATAGAGCGCACTTCTAACATACAAACCAACCTTTTGCAACCTATTTTTCTTTGCCAAATCTCTCACAAAATATCCATCTGCCAGATAGTTACAAGCTGTGTCCACATCTCCATTGTAGATCAAAACTCGGAACGCCGGACCCGTGTAATTATTGAAAATCTTGGTGAAGAATGGTGTCATGTCTTGATGAGTCATCACATATTGATCGTACATTGCAACACTGAAGTTTTAAGAAATCTACAGTAATCCAAACGTCTCCCTCACTTGCAAACCTTCCATTTCTCCTTTCTCTCCAACCACTCGCTATCAATTTTTAGAGATTTTTTGACGTCTTCAAGATTGAGATACTTGTGAAGTGCCATGTCATTCCAGCAACTATAAGATGTTTTGTCGTCAGTCGAGTACTTGTTCCATAGAGCCTAAAATGTCAAAACTTTTGATTGATTAGGGGCCAGAAGAGTTACCGAGATTCCTTTTCGTGGAACTAGTTTCATGGTCTCTTTGACGGGGTCCGTGGCATTGGGAAGAGAGAAATTGGTGTAGCAGTCGTGGTAGTAGTTGAAGAAGTCATAACTGAAAAATCTTGACGACTCGAAGTATATCAATATGGATTTATTGATTTTCTTTTTGGAAATGTGTCCTGGAACTCCTATACTATTCCAGCACGGTCAGAAAAAAAGACAATCAAATTTACCGAACTGTTAGCTCTAAAACAAGCCTAAATACGACTGTTATTGTTGTCCGAAAAAAGTGGAGTTGAGACGCAGACAGTTAATCGAAATATTTCTCTGCGTCTCCACCGACTATGCACTATTTAGGCTTGTCGCTTCGAGGTGCCTACCGTATTCAGACTGCAAAAAATACTCTCTCGCTCCAATTTTTTCGCACAACAATAAATAATAATATATCCAATAGAAATTAGGCTCCGCTTCCTTTTACCCAAAAAAATACATATTGTGGGCGGAGGCTAGTAGTGTTTAGGTTCAATATGATCCAGTTTTTGCTCTGAATTCAATTTCAGCACGTTCGAAACTTTAAAATCAGCCCGAACACGGATAGGCCCCGCCCACTTTGAATTCCTATCTTGGACACGCGACTCACGACCGCAACGCTTCCGAAAAAACCTAGGTGCGGAGCCTAGTCGTGTTTAGGCTTATTTTGAAGCTAACAGCAAGGCAAAGTCGTTGATCTCTGTTGAAAATGATTTGAATCAAAACTAACCGAGTTGTGGTAGTTTTGAGAAGAAACGAATAACTTTAAATTTCGATTACGTGCCTATTTACTCCAAAATGTTAAGATCCATTGCTCTAAAAGCCTGCGCATTAAATTTTCTAAGTTGATCATTACACCCTGATTTATATTTCTCATTAAAAATTATTCCAAACTAACCCCTCCCAATTCTCGGTGTACTGCCCCAAAAGTGGTTCAATCAGTTGCCCACATTCTGATTTGTTGTCAACTTGATAGTCCATTTTGTTTGTAGTTGTCATGAATTGCTGAAAAAACGGTATTTAAAGGTGGGGGGACAGGAGATTTTTCGTAGTTTTTTGTAGCAAGAGTATGCATTCTACCGTCACGGTGTACAACGCTTAATGTCACTCTGCGTACAGCTGTCGACCTCGCCTTTATGTATGCAATCGGGCGTGCGCTTTCTCTTTGCCCGCGTGGCTCAGTCGGTAGCGGCGCCGCACCCTCAATCATCGCCCTCACAAGTTCAACTTCTCGAGGGGCATCTTTGAACGGAATTTCGAGAACATTATTTTTTTCGCCTCCCCCTCCCTCTTAATTACCATAAAATCATAACTGTCGACATCTTTAGCTCCAGAAGTCCTGCATTTTTCTTTAATTGCGTCCCATTCACTGAAAATAGTGATGCTTCATCAATTTTTCTTGCTAATCAACTAACTCTGGAGATGCTCTCGCATGATATGCGCCCCATAGAATCATAGTGTTCGTTGACAACTTCACATTCATAAATCCATTTCCTATGATCAATCCCTTGAATTTTTCGTTTGGGAATTCTCTCTTCGCAATGGATTCTGCCACCAATGCAGACAACATTGGTCCATAGACTCCTCCATAGGATTCGGCGGCTATGAAGAACTCATTTTTCAGATATGACTGGTTCTTGCTAAAATAAACATTTAGAAATCGAGGATTTTAGGGTATCTTACTTCTCAAAGAAATCCAAAACCGCTCTAAAATTCTGCTCTGCTATCATATCGTCATCTCCTCTCGACACATTTCTATCCTCCTGGTCATAGGAGAATCCGACGCCTATTGGGGATTCCAAAAATAGAATATTTGCTCTCTGAAAATTTACAAAAGAGGATGATTTCTCAGAATGTGAAGACTCACATGGTACCAGGAGTTGACATTCTCAAAAAGGGATTTGCCATCAAAGTTGACGTATAGTGGGCCGAATTCTTCAAAAAATGCTCCTAAAGATGAGCAACCGGGTCCTCCATTGAACCAAATTATTAACGGAGCAGTGTCAGAGGAAATATCTCGAGATTCGAGGAGCCTGAAAATTGATGTTCTCAATCATTTTAGTTATTTTCATAGAGCGTAATTACCGTACTTTCTCTGATAGGAGTAAGTCCACATTGAACTCAATCATCTCGCCTCTTTTTGGAAACATCAAAAATGCTCAACTGATAAGTTATTTACTATATAATTACCATTGTTTTATCAGTTGACAGGTTTTTGATATCTCTCATAAGAACCGAGATAGTTGAGCTCAAAGTGCATTTATCGGGTGGTCTTCATTTAGAGCAAGTACATTAGTTGCGCTTAAAATCTATTATCTCGGTTCCTTCGAAAGATATCAGAAAACTTTTGACTGATAAATTATTTATCATTCTATTACCAATATTTTATCAGTTGACAAAAGTTATCTATCACTCAAAGGAAGCTAGATAATTGAGCTCAAAGTGGACGGCTTGGGTAGACTTATTTAATTTTAATTTTGTTTATTGATCAGGTGTAATAAAACATTAGAGGGTAGGACATGAAAGACTCAGAAAAAATGCCCCTCGCGAGGCTGATCTGAGTAGGGGAGGGGAAACGGGATAATCTAGATATTTGGCACAGGAAAAATGTAACCGGTAGAAGAAGAGAAACGAAAAAAGGAAAAAAATAGGGGAGCAAATATATCAATAACGAGTAATACTGGAAGAAATTAAAGGTGGGGGGACAGGAGATTTTTCGTAGTTTTTTTGTAGCTAGAGTATGCATTCTACCGTCACGGTGTACAACGCTTAATGTCACTCTGCGTACAGCTTTTCAAACGATAAACTGTTTATCACAATATTACCAATATTTTATCAGTTGACAAATTTTTGATATAAAAATATGAAAATTTGAAAATTTCTAACTCTGTCTCAAAATTCGTTGCATATTAGTAAAATATGTATGTTTTATACAGAAAAAAAACTAACTTTAGGCAAATCGTAAGTTTTTCTTGTCTGGCGGAGAGATTTTCACAGAAATTTCTTGAATACGATACTTCACTCGTTTTTAAGGTGAATAATGTTTTTTTCATAAGAAATTCAGGTCAACAAAACAGAAAAAATTTATTGAAAAAAAGCAAAAAAAACAACAACAAAAATAATAACGTGAGATATATTTCCGTGAACCTACAGAAGCGATTCCGAGATCGCTTCTGGGACTTTTGAAAAAAGAAGCCCGAAAAAATAAATATATTAATATTTCCCGTGAACCTACAGAAGCGATCTCGATATCGCTTCTGGGAATTTTGTGAGAGCGAAAAAACATCCAGAATCGATCCCTTGATCGATTCTGTAAGTTCACGTAAATCTGCCAATTTTCGAAAAATATCGTGAAATTTTGAAATCCACAAATTTTTCATTCTGAAAATGGGCTCCCTTACTAGTAAGGGTGTTTGTGATTCAATGTGAATTTTTGTAAAAGGCAAGAAATATTTCTAGCTATATATTTGTAACATTATCTGATAATCATGTTGATTATTGAAAACAAAAATTGAGAAATTTCAAATTCAACAAAATTTTCAAGTAATCCGTTTTAAGGGAATAATATACTTTTTGATCCCCCAAACGTTGAAAATCTTTTTGAATTTGAAATTTCTCAATGTTTTCAATAATCAACATGATTATCAGATAAAATTACAAATATGTAGCTTGAAATATTTCTTGCCTTTTTCAAAAATTCACATTGAATCACAAAACACGATACCCTTACAAGTAAGGGAGCCCATTTTCAGAATGAAAAATTTGTGGATTTCAAAATTTCACGATATTTTTCGAAAATTGGCAGATTTACGTGAACTTACAGAATCGATCAAGGGATCTTTTTTCGATGTTTTTTCGCTCTCACAAAATTCCCAGAAGCGATATCGAGATCGCTTCTGTAGGTTCACGGGAAATATTAATATATTTATTTTTTCAGGCTTCTTTTCTCAAAACTCCCAAAAGCGATCTCGGGATCGCTTCTGTAGGTTCACGGGAAATATATCTCACGTTATTATTTTGTTGTTTTTTTAACTCTTCTTCAATAAATTTTTTCTGTTTTGTTGACCTGAATTTCTTATGAAAAAAGTAAAAAAAAAACTAAATTGAATTGTTTTATAATGAAAATGGTCAAAAAATGTATGTGAAGTATAATTCTCACACATAAATCCTGAAATAATGATGTTTCTTATATTTCTGTGAACCAACAGAAAAGTTTGTAGGCTCGACTCTATTCGAACGAATGTTTAAAATTTTGAAAATGTCATCTTCTTATATCTTTTACAGGAATTGAGATAATTGAGCTCAAAGTGCATAAACTCACAAATAGAACATTCGATGCGTTCCATTTTGATTTGCATTTAGATATCCTGATTGTAGCTTTAAATCGCCAATATCCAAATTTCCGGGTAGTTTTATATAATCTTCACAATTTGAAAATTTCAGAATAAATATAATAAGTAATATAATTCTGATCATTGAAAAGAAACCTTCTAGATAAAATCAAAGGTGTAAGTGTTAGTTCTAGTTGGGGGTAGAAAAATGAAAGAAACTCTATCATACTATTTTTCACATTCTCCCTCCACCTGTTCAATTTTCACTTTTCTTTTCCTCTGTATCTCTCTCACCTTGTCTATAATCCTCTCTACATTTTTTTTGCATTATATACCGCGCGGATTTATTTTGATTTATTTTACTTTTATTGTATTGACAGGTCAAACGATATGACGATTTATTTTTGAGAGAGAGAGAGAGAGAGAGAGAGAGAGAGAAAATAAAGACTGGAATTGACTTTAGGTTGGAATTTGGGCGGAAAATTGAAGGGGATTTTCCGGGAATAACAAAAAATGATGACAGAGGTAATCGTGATAATTTTCAATTTATGTTCTATTTTGTTATAATCACGAGAATCAACCTACTCATTCTCCTTAAAAATCCAGTTCTTGTCATTTTTTGTCTCATTTTCTGTGTTTTGATCTACCATGCGAACCGCCTGTGTATTATTTCATGACACTTTATTCGAATTTGGTCAAAGTTTTTAGAGATTATTATAAAAAGAAAAAGGACTCGAGAACTTTCCAAGTGGTCCAATATATTATTTTTACTTGGTTCATTTTTGCAATATGCGGATTTTTGGCATACGGATTGTCGGTGGCTTTTTGGTACTATATGGACAGTCCAATATTGGAAAAACCAGAGGTCACAGGGTACAGGCCAGAGAATTGGAGCCAGCATTTATTGGAGTCTAGACCAGGTAATTTTTTCCCCGAAACTCATCATGGCAAATTTCTCTACAGAAGATAATTCGAATACATCCTCAGTGGTTTGTGATAAACGATTGGTTGGGTACTACACGGACTACACGAGAGCCATAATTCGAAACGAGCAGATTCTGAAACTCACCCATGTGATTTATCTGTTGCTTGATGTGTATCCAAATGGAGTTGTGAAAGTTTTGGACGAGCAAAAGGATACGAGTTTTTTGAAAAAAGTGGAATTTGCAAAACGATTGAATCCAAAACTGAAAGTGATGGTTGGAGTTGGTGGATATCAATTTGCGAGGCGGTTTTCTTCTGTAGCCGGGGATGAGACGAAGAGACAGTGATAAATCTGATTCTTCAAAATTAATTATTCTTAAAACTTTCAGAACATTCCAAATTTCCGTTACTGCATTCCTCATTTATCATAAACTAGACGGTGTGGATATTTTCTGGGCATGGCCGAAAGCTGAAGATCGGGAAAACTGCCTAAAGCTAATCAAAGGATTACGTCAAAACCTCCCGGCTCAATTCCTCATTTCTATGATTCTACCTCGATTGGCGCAGCAGCTAGATGGATACATTTTGAATTCTCTCGTGGACTACGTCGATTTCTTCAGTGTTCTATCTTACGACTACTTTGGGCCATTACCAGGCAATGATGCAAATCTTGGACCCATATCTCCATTATATGGTGGACAGAGAGGTAATGTGGATGGAACTATGAAACGGCTCTCATGTGAGATCAGAAAACCAAGCCAGCTCAATATGGGAATCACATTGTATGGAACCTATTGGAGCAATGTAGAAAGTGGACTTGGACAAAAAACAGATGATATTTGGAGGCTTGCAGAGGTTGAAAACGGACCTGGATATTCGATTGGATGGCGAGAAATGGAGCAGAGAAATTGGAATTTGTCATCTGCAAACTGGCATGAAGCATCTAAAAGTTCCTATATCTGGAACCCAAAAAACAAAAAGCTTTTGGGATTTGAGAATGAGAAGAGTCTTCAGGAAAAAGTGGTTTATGCAAAGAACAAGAATATTGGAGGAATCGTGGTATGGACCATGGATCAGGATGATGTAGTGATTGATGGATGTAGTGATTGAAAAATTGTGTTGTTTTCAATTGTATTATTCCCTCCTTCTATTGTCTCCTTTTGAAATAAAAAAAAACTCTCACCTCTAGTTTGCAGAAATGTCGTAAACACTCTAATAGAAGGCCACTCAAACCGTCAACTTTGAGCTCATATATCTCGGTTCCTGTACAGTATATCAAGAAGTGGTAAACTAAAAAAATGGTTTTCCCATTATGACAAACATGTTGTTAGCTTTCACAAAAACCGAGATATCTCGACGAGAAGTTAGCTGTCAAAGGAAAATAGCTGAACTCGACTAAAATGATACCATCGCGACACAGGGGTGCAAAATCGCCATGCGGCGGGTGCGAGGGGCGTGGTCAACTTGTTCTGCATACCCAGACAATAGTCTTGTTGTGGAAAAACAATTGAGAATTAAGGTGGTCAGCAAGTTACACTGGTAGCACTAAATTTTTACAAACATTGACTGGTTTTCATTCTTTGTTCTCCACTATGTCTCCAATCACAATATTGAATAACAAACCCCTTAAAGTTGTATTTTCCATTCTTGCCATCCTTATAATCTGTGGCATTATCTTTTTTGCACTTTCCTCTATATTCTGGTATTTTTATGATTATAACAGTGCCTTGTCGTTCCCGAGTCGTTGGCTATTATTCCCTCTGGGAGCCTAATGAAGTCACTCTGAGACAGCTAAGAAAACTTACGCATATCAGTTTTGTGTTTTTGATGAGAATGGAAGTATAAGTTTTCCTGGAGATTCTGGAGAAAATAAATTTTTACAAAAGGAAGAAAACTGCGTTATCGATGAGACCGGAAATCAAATTGATGTTCAGTGTTGCGGTTTCTCTGCGGCTTTTCATTATTCAAAGATATTAGCGGAGAAAAACAAGAGAAGGTGAGAATTCTGTATTTATTTCGTTTTTGAGACACTTATTTTCAGATTCCTTATGAACTCAATAATCTCATTCCTGGATGAGAACAACTTGGATGGTGTCGACATCTTCTGGGCCTGGCCCTCCGAACAGGACCGCCAATCTCACATCCGATTTCTTCAAGAACTAACAAATCTTTAGCTGAGCTCAAGAATGAAAAAAAGAGAACTCAAGACTACATTATCAGTATTATTGCTCCACGAAATGTGAAGAGGATGTCACCTGGAGGGGGTGTTGGATCCCCCCGTGAAACCTCCTGCAGAATAGATTACTCTGAATCATTAAAGTAAAGCGGCCTGTAACAATAATAACTAGAGAATCCTAATGTGTCTGTAGCGCTGGAAGTGGGACGAAAGCGGGCAGATAAGCTGTGTGACAAGTAAAACAGTTGTAACTCATTAACCCATTTATTGCGTGTAAATAATTAATAAAATATAGATAATTATCGGCAATAAATGGAGCGGTCCGGAAGGCGTGATGACGTTGGATAGCGGATCATGAGGGATGAAATACCGGACGAAAAACCCTAGAGATTCTGTCTTTATTCAATTCCCCTAATCTCTACACAACAACACACGTCTTCACACTAACAACTATATCACTACGCTTGGAGAGGAAAATACCTGGATTGCCGCGAAGCGGACTAGACACGATGGCGTCGGTGATAGAATCCTCGAGAAGCGGACGTGCAATTCGGTGGAACAGCAGTAATTAGTGAATATAGCGGTCGGAATAATAGGACGAGCAGCAACTAACACAACAACAACTTGATCGGACTGACTCGAGCGGTGACGCAAGAGTCTGATAGAGGAGGGGGCGCGTGTGTGCCCCTCTGCGGACAAATGGGAGGGAATTTGAATAAGGGTTTGAGGTGATTGCGGAAAAGGAAGGAAATAACGGGAAAATGATGTAATAAAAGAGGTTTCTGAGGAGCAAGCGAAGTGGGCTGAGCCACAGGGGTCCTCAGAAGACCTTCGGGTTGGCAAGCCTGTGCATAGACACATGGAATTGACAACACAGCACTCTGATGGTTTTGGACGCTCCGATTATCCGAATGTCTTCAACAAATCCACCTTTCGATCGTTTTGACGAAATCATCTGCTTGATTCGTTTCCCGACGTAATCGTGGTCCGTAAGAAGTAGCTGTTGGGCGTGTCGTTGGTTCTTGATCAGCGCTTCCAATTTTTCGACGAGTTCGCGAAGAGGCAAAGGTTTCGAATGGGTGGAAGCTGAAAACATTTTCGAAGTCGATTACGTAGGGACAAGTTTTAACCCAAAAAGTAATGAGTTTCTAACGCCCGGTACAAGACTTCAAAGATGGGTTTCTGAAATGGGGAGAAAAATTTTGGTCGCCCCGCCCCCTTTCATTGCGGCGCCTATTTAAAATGTTAATATTTATAAGAATAGGGATAAAGGAAAGTTGGTTTCTTCAAAGAGGGAGGGGAGGGGGGCATTACAATCAGAAAAATTTTAATAGATGTTGAAAATTAGAAAAAAAACTGATTAGTAAGAATTCCATCTAGTATCGCTCATTACGATTTCATACAGAACATCTGATGCTGACTCTCTTGTATTCTTCGTCCACTTCTGATTATTTCGAACACCTTCCGACATTTCTCTCATCCAATTCCAATAATTTTCTGGTCTATATCTTTCAGCATAGACGAAAGTGGACATTAATCTCAATCCAAAGCGAATCGATTCATCTGTAGAGTATTCAGAAGTGAAGATAGTGTTCAGCTCTGTGTATTTATCCCAAGTGAGTAGACAATTCGGAAGATTCGATCGACCCCAACTATCACTAAATTGTCCAATTATAGGCAGAAAATTCAAGTGGGCGGAGCTTAGGTCCGGTAGCTTAAATGTGCATGTAATTTTGTAAGTGTTGTTTTCGGCTATCATCGAATTTCTCATGTTTAGAGCTCCAAAATTAGTGTAAACACGGCCAAGTGTGGAGCCTTTTAGAACATTTTGAAAGTGTACCAATTTTAGATGATCCATAACTTTTTCAGTTCTGCTTTAAATTTCCTAAAACTTAAAGTTTTGAGTTTGCCTTGTTGTGAGCTTCATAATGAGTATAAACACAAAAGGTTTCTGAAAAGTTCAAATTTTGACCTTAAACTCAGGTAAACGATTCTGAATTAGATCTGACTTCATTCGGAATTAGATCTGGGTTCGTTCGTAAATAGAAGTGGCATGATCTAATACAGAATTTAGCTGATCTAATTCCGAACGAACACCGAATGAACTACGAACGAATTAGATCTAATTCCGAACAGACCAGCGGGATTTCGGAGCATCGTAGCGCGCGCTGTTCAAATTTTGTTTTCTTTTCAGCGCCATTCACTTTATTAATAATAACATTTATTAAAAAAAGAAAACAGAACAAGTATGAGGAAAAGAAAAACATTGATTAAAACGTAGAAATAGGAAATCGGAACGAAAATGAGGGGTGTGATAAAAATGAATGAATGGGATCAGCAAAAAAGAAAACGATGAGATCAGCGAGAATAATGGGACCTATGAGATAAGAAAAAGTGACAAAATTTATGAAAAAAAAAATCTCAATTCGAATTCTTCCGCTCGTCCATATTTTCGATTTTGAAAATTCTCTTATCATAGTTTCCGGTTGTAGATAAGATGGATATTCTTTATGAAATGAATGTTGATTTAACTGAAAAAAGAAGTTTTTGGCTTTGTGATGTCGATAATAAACTTACTTGAGCCATTTCAATATAATTTCCGTACTCAAATCTTCGCAAATCCAAATAAATTCATTAGAGCAGTTGTTTTATACAACAAATCCCAACTTTTTGAATAGTTTTAATCGGGTCATGACACATTCGGTTGAGAGCCTGCAATTTCACGCATGTTTCTTTGTCCACCAGACTTTCGAAAACTAACCTGCTCACGGCGAGACGCAGTTTCCGGAAGTAAGACCTTCTCGACTTGTGTAAATTGAGCTCACTATCAGAGAAATTTATCATCTCTTTTTTTCTTATTTTTTCGGTGATCCCTTGCATCGTTTTTACGTAATCCTTTAAGCTGAAAAGGGCAAAATTTATTTTACCTGCAGAGTTTTCTATGAATTTAAAATCTTCAAAATATTCGTATTTTTGTCGGTTCATAGAATTACTGTCTTCTCTATAAATTGAACTTTGAATATTCAGTTGTTCCTAAAAAAAATCACCTAAAATTTTGCAAAAACGTGCAAAACACATTAAAATATGTTCCAGAAAATATAGTTCAAAATAACCGAGCGAAAAAAGGCAAAAGTTGAGAGAAAAACCCATTTTCCTGACGAAAAAAATTTAGGACAACAAAAAAACAAAACAATTCATCCGCGGCAGCTGAGTCGTTGATGGCGCATTTCTCGTGGCAACTTCGGTATTAGATCTAGTCCAGATCTAATTCCGAATGAACTCAGATCTAATTCAGAATTTCGAGTTATTCGATCTAATTCCGAATGAAGTCAGATCTAATTCAGAATCGTTTACCTGAGAAGGCGCATGGTCCTTGGGGCAAAAATCAGATACGTGCGAATATAGTCGTGCTTGTACTCGTTTTGAAGCTCATAACAAGCTAAGTTCAAAAATTTGGCTTTCATGATTTTTGATTAAAAACTGAAGAAATTAGGACCCTTCGAAATTCGGCAAACTTTCAATTTTTTTTTCGATTTTTCAAGGGCCGCTACCGTACCCCATTCAATGTTTGAACTTCACTGATAAGAGTGCAAAATATCACACCTCGATCAATGACATTTTGTACATATGAAATCATTTTGTGTGTGATGCTGATAAAAAATTTTATGACTTCCTAACCTGATATAAACACAAAATGTGCTAGTTTTTTCCAGCTACAAAGATGAAAACTTGCCAACTGGTTACGGTACTTCTGATGTTAGGTAAATTTTTATTTAAGATTACTTCGATTTCAAAAGCTTCAGTGCCATCTGTTTGGTCAATTTCTGATCGTCCTTGTGGAAATGATACAAGTAATTTATGGCTGGATTTGGTGTTAGTTATAGACAACTCTCAGCCCACCAACACTATCTATGAGACGATTTCTGGAATTTTCGGAGCACAATCTCGAATTGGGACTCATTATGAGGATCCGAGAAGTTCCAGAGTGGCAATTATCACATATAATAATGATGCCACTACAGTAGGCATACTAGAAAGGTTCGCTAAAAATAAGATGTTTCAGGTTGCACAATTTCCAACTTTCAAATCATTGGATCAGCTGAAAACTGAGTTAACAGTTCTAAAAAACGATGGGACATCTGGAAATGAGTCTTATTTGGATACGTAAGCTGTTATCTGTCTGTGCGTCTTGATCTAGGTTTTTTTTTTATTTCAGAGGCCTATCCAGCGCCCAAGCGATTTTAAATAAAACCGAAGATCGGATGAATTATAAGAAAGTGGTTCTTGTTTTTGCTTCCACCTATGAGTAAGTTTTTTTCTTTCAAGATTTCTAGCCCCCAAAAAAACTTGTCCAAAAACCAACCTTCTAGCTCATCTAGAAGCTGAGATACACCCCTTTAAAGTTTCGCAAGCTAGAGACGCAGACAACGAGACACACTGCGTCTCTAACCTCCCGAACTTCAAAGGGCTGTATCTCGGCTCACCTAGAAAGTTGGTCCTTTAACAGATTCACAGGAAATTTTTTGCTCTTCAAGGTCATATGCAAAAACAAAAAAAAATCAAGTTTCCAGTCAGCTGAACGAGCTGGCCGGTCGGTTGGTCGGCTAAAATTAGCCAAAAGAAAGTCTAATTCTAGTCTAAAACTAGTCTAAAAAGTCTAAAACGTTCGAAATTTCAGCTTACTCTACGATCGCCCTGACTACATTGCTCATGCGTTGAAGTCTAATGGGGTTACTGTAATTACTGTATACACTGGAAATGACAAAACGGTGAAGGGACAGTTGAAAAGTGTTGCTTCCGATGGATTTGCATTCCAAATGTCTGTGAATACCACCACAGATCTTCAGAATGCGTTGACGATGAGTAGGTTTTCGGAAGCTGTTCTTTTTTGAAAAAATATCTCTTCAGTAAACTGCTTCTGTTTTGACTATTGGACCTGGACTCAATACAATCATTTTGGGACTTGTATGTTGTATCCAGGAGTCAAGGGAAACCAAAAAGCGGCTCGTAAATATTGCAAATCGTTGGGTCTTCCAAGTAATCTAGCCACTGAATTCAATGAAGACAAACGGAAGTTCAGCTACAGTAATCCCTGGATATTTTGAAGTTTTTTCAAGCAATTAAAATTTTAGAGTTTATCAACTCCTTCGATGATGACTCGATAAATTCCTATTGGAACGGATTGATCAGTGAAAATTCTACGTGGTATTGGGATCAGCCAAAAGGAAAACCATTGATTCCGGTATACTTTTTTGATTTTCAGCATCTACCGTAAACACTCTAATAGGACTCGAACCGTCAACTTTGAGCATATATATATATATATCTCGGTTCCTAGGATAGAAATCAAAAAAGTGTCAACTGATAAAATGTTTATCATATTATCACAAATATTTTATATGTTGACCACTTTTTGATATCTTTTACAGGAAACAAGATAAATTTACTTTCTCAGCTCGACCCATCTTCCGGCTCGATTAGCACCTCAACTGGATGTGTGGCAGATGTCAAGCACTCTGATGGATCTGTAAGCCAGCAAAAAGATTTTGAAAATTCTAAAAATTCTACTTTAGGTTGCATGGACGCCAATCAGCTGCTCTAACTCGTTCTATTTCCTATGTGAAGCCAAAGCTTGTGATACTGATAATTATTGTGATTAAAAATATTAATGAGCACTGCAGAACTATCAAATCATTCATTTAAAACACATCAATCGCACCAAAGATCAATTCTTAAGCCCCATTGAAACGATGGGCGCTTCTTTTCCACAGAAAAAGTAATAGTCAAGCCAGCAACTGATATCGTTGAACGTCTTATCAGCCCTTTTTGGCCATCCGGGTCTAGCTTGCGGTCCTTTGTTCATGTGTACACACGCCTCATGCCCCTCAAAGTTTGGCTCGGAATCAGTGATCCAGTTATCTTTGAACAACGGCGGGTTATCAGCAACACCGTCGATCCATTCAAACAACCGATCACGAGAACACGGATGTGTGGGGTCCTTGTTGAAACCACCGTATTTCTGTCCAATCTGTGCTCTACTATTGCATTGCTCCCGTCGCTTAGCTCCGAGATACGCCGCATCGTTACGAATGAACTGAGCTCCACCTTTTATGGCTTCATCCATCATCTCTGCAAAAAAAGACACATGTTAAATTTTGAAATCGAATAACATACTGTCCAGAAGATCCAACTCTCCCATGTCTGTGAAACCAGTAACGAATGCTCCGTTCTCCTCTGACTGGCAATAGCTTTGCGCGTCATCGAATGTTTTTTTCTGGTTGATGAATTTGTGACACCATTTTTGCCCTCTTGTTTTTCGCCAATACGATGTATAACCAGATGGACAGGCACCATAGGACATGACTTCGAAATTCGTCTGACAATAAATGGGTGCGTATTTGGGATCGGACATTGTTTCTAGTCTTCGATCTCCTTTGCGGCTGAAAATTTGAACAATGAAATGGGGGATGCGAATAGCACTCACCTGAAGAAAATTCCAGTACTCCAGCTACCTGCATCACACTTTTCGTTTGGTTGGCTTTCCGCCCAAACATCAGAAGGAACTTTTTTGAACAGAAGACTCGAGTTCTGAAAATCGCATATATTAACTTTATAAAACGGTTCTTACTCACTGTACTCATGTAGTCATAACCATAATTTTTTGAATTACTATCCGTGCATTCTGCATTTTTTCGATTGTTTACAGATGCGTCACGAGAATAGACAGATGTCCGGATAATCGTAGCATCCCGATCTTTGGATAAAAGACCCAGAAAATCTGTATTCGGATCCGCGGACTGAGCAATAGCATCATTGTGGAGGAATGGTCTCAGGACCTTTTTACAGTAATTACTGTCTCTCTTCCGATTGTCACTACGTTGCAAACTGCTGGCAGTTCGAACATAAGCTCTGTCTGGGGTGAAAAGGATCGTATGATAGATTTCTCCGTATCTTCTCAACAAGTAATTACTCTCTGCTTGATTCATAGTAGGAGTGTATTCACAGAGAGCCATTGCAGTTTCATCGGAAGGAACTTTGGCAAGAGCAATGTTCGGTAGAGCGTATTTGTATCCGTCGAGAGCCAGAAGAAGGTTCTCGCCTTTTACGTAGGTCAGGTCATTGGTGATGGCTTCACTAGCATCGATCCAGACACGAGACACTTTAGAGAAGTAGTCTGGAATTTTTGAATAAAAAAGAAGAATCTAGAATTATTGGGGATTAGTCATTCCTAAAGACTTTCAAGATTCCTTCACTCTGAAATCCGTTTCCTAACTAACCATTGATTCTGAATGGCAATGCCTCTCTATGCATGAAAGCGATTCTTGCTTTTGGTTTCAAAGTGGCACAGTACTCCACAGCCGAATCCCGTTTCATCATTTTCTTTTCAATTTTATAACATCTTCCGAACATCTGAACCCATCCTTGTTCGCATTTGAGTGTAGCTTCAGCATCGCAAGTTGTCGTGGATTTGTCAATTTTCACATTTAGAATGTGAAATGGCACATTGTCCTCACAATATCTTCTGGCCTCGCCTTGATTGGCAGACACCACTGGGAAAACCATTGAACACTTGTCGCCTTCCATGGCCTGAAGTCAGATTTCCAGATTTCCAGATTGCAATATTCTTACACATACCTTAGAACTTTGTCTTTCTCGGTAATTCTTCTGAGCGCCACTCCAGAAATCGCACATCTTCTTAAAGCTCTCATCGCCTTCATCGGCAGTTGTGAATGTCAGAAGATAACAAACGATGAGAAGTTTCATTCGCATTTTCGATTCGAATGAAACCTGAAATCTGGAATTTCAAGAAGGTTTATCTCTTTTTGAAACTAACCTTCTCTATCATCGCGCTGAGTTGGAAAAAAGGCTGAAAAAACAGAGCGAATTGTGGCGACAAGATGCCAATGTCACAGTGTTGATCTAGTTTTTCTCCTTTTCGAGGCCACGCAACTATATTATATTTTAAAGCTTTTCAAAAAAAAATTTTTTCTAGGTCATGACCTAGATTTTTTAGGTCATGACTTAAATATTTTCTAGGTCATGACCTGAATAGTTTTTTTCAGGTCATGACCTAAATAAATTTTTCCTATTTTTTTTTAATTCCTAGAAAATATTTAAGTCATGACCTAGAAAAATATTTAGGTCATGACCTAAAAAATCTAGGTCATGACCTAGAAAAAATAAATTATTTAGGTCATGAGCTAGGAAAACTAGTATATCTAGGCCATGGCCATGACCACGGCCTAGATATACTAGTCTACTTTAAAAATAAGATCCAGGTCGTTTCTTCCCCTATATCCTTTTCACCCTTTTTCGAGGGCTGATTTCTTGTTGATTTCAAACTTAAGAAACATTAATTGAGGGTAGAAATAGAACAGGGTGTCACATGAAAATTTACTGATGCTCAAAAGCTTTAAAATATAATATAGTTGCGTGGCCTCGAAAAGGAGAAAAACTAGATCAACACTGTGACATTGGCATCTTGTCGCCACAATTCGCTCTGTTTTTTCAGCCTTTTTTCCAACTCAGCGCGATGATAGAGAAGGTTAGTTTCAAAAAGAGATAAACCTTCTTGAAATTCCAGATTTCAGGTTTCATTCGAATCGAAAATGCGAATGAAACTTCTCATCGTTTGTTGTCTTCTGACATTCACAACTGCCGATGAAGGCGATGAAAGCTTTAAGAAGATGTGTGAATTCTGGAGTGGCGCTCAGAAAAGTTATCGTGAGAGACTAAGTTCTAAGGTATGTGTAAGAATATTGCAATCTGGAAATCTGGAAATCTGACTTCAGGCCATGGAAGGCGACAAGTGTTCAATGGTTTTCCCAGTGGTGTCTGCCAATGAAGGCGAGGCCAGAAGATACTGTGAGGAAAATGTGCCATTTCACATTCTAAATGTGAAAATTGACAAATCCACGACAACTTGCGATGCTGAAGCTACACTCAAATGCGAACAAGGATGGGTTCAGATGTTCGGAAGATGTTATAAAATTGAAAAGAAAATGATGAAACGGGATTCGGCTGTGGAGTACTGTGCCACTTTGAAACCAAAAGCAAGAATCGCTTTCATGCATAGAGAGGCATTGCCATTCAGAATCAATGGTTAGTTAGGAAACGGATTTCAGAGTGAAGGAATCTTGAAAGTCTTTAGGAATGACTAATCCCCAATAATTCTAGATTCTTCTTTTTTATTCAAAAATTCCAGACTACTTCTCTAAAGTGTCTCGTGTCTGGATCGATGCTAGTGAAGCCATCACCAATGACCTGACCTACGTAAAAGGCGAGAACCTTCTTCTGGCTCTCGACGGATACAAATACGCTCTACCGAACATTGCTCTTGCCAAAGTTCCTTCCGATGAAACTGCAATGGCTCTCTGTGAATACACTCCTACTATGAATCAAGCAGAGAGTAATTACTTGTTGAGAAGATACGGAGAAATCTATCATACGATCCTTTTCACCCCAGACAGAGCTTATGTTCGAACTGCCAGCAGTTTGCAACGTAGCGACAATCGCAAGAGGGATAGTAACTACTGTAAAAAGGTTCTGAGACCATTCCTCCATAATGATGATATTGCTCAGTCCGCGGATCCGAATACAGATTTTTTGGAACTATTATCCAAAGATCGTGATGCTACGATTATCCGGACATCTGTCTATTCTCGTGACGATCTCTAAACAATCGAAAAAATGCAGAATGCACGGATAGTCGGGCAAAAAATTATGGTTATGATAACACTGACGGGGTGAGTATATGAAACATATTTGAAACAGTCAGTAGCGTCAGCACATCTTGATTTCAGGAAAAAGGACTTATATTCACAAAAGTTCCTCCTGATGTTTGGGCGAAAAACCAACCGGAAGAAAAGTGTGATGCAGGTAGCTGGAGTACTGGAATTGTCTTCAGGTGAGTGCTTATCTTATTTTTATAAACAAAAACGTTTGTTTCAGTCGCAAGGGAGAGCGAAGACTCGAAACGATGTCTGATGCCAGATACGCCCCCATCTATTGTCAAACCAACTTTGAAAAAGTGACTTTCGGTGACTGCCCATCTGGCTACACGGAGTATTGGAGAGCAGAAAGAAGACAAAAGTGGTGCCACAAGTTTATCAATCGAAAGGCAAACTTCGACGATGCAAATGCGTATTGTAACACAACAGAGAAGGGATTTGTCACCGGTTTCGCAGATGCCAAGGAGTTGGAGTTATTGGATCGTAAGTAACTTGATAAAAAATTTAAATTTTCGGTTTTTTTAATTTTCAGAACTGCTGGATAAAGCCATTAAAAGTGGAACAGTGTTCAAGAAAAGTGAAGGAGTGTACCTTGGAGTTCAGCGACGTCACCAGTGCATTAACAGAAAGCAGATTGCTCATAGCACAGGAGGTTTCAACCCGGACCCAACCCATCCATGTTCTAAGGAACGGTTGTTCGAATGGGTATACGGTGTTGCCGATCATCCGCCATTGTTCAAAGACTATTGGGCTGTTGAGAGTGAACCAAATTTCGTAGGTGACGATGAGCGATGCGTGGAACTGGTGAAGGGATTCCAAACTAGAAGTGGCTGGCCGACGGGAGAAATGAGCAAAAAGTTGAACGATTTGCCTTGCGACAAACAGCTGTACTTCTTCTGCGGAAAAGAAGCACCGATTAAAGTCATTGGAGTCAACGTCTGATTGCTCATACTTTTTGACTTTTGTGACTTTTGATGGCTTATTTTTTTAGAGAATAAAGTTTCTGGTAGTGTCTGGTTTTTAGATACCGTTATCCTCCGTTCCTTTGTTCTCTCTTTATCATTTGATTTCACAGTAATTTCTTAAAATTAGCAACCTGTGTTTCGAAAATTCAGAAATTCCGAAATTCCGAAATTCCGAAATTCCGAAATTCCGAAATTCAGAAATTCAAAACTTCAGAAATCTGAAAATTTAGAAATCCGGAAATTCGGAAATTCAGAAATTCAGAAATTCCCTTCTCTCTCTCTCTCTCTCTCTCTCTCTCTCTCTCTCTCTCCTCGATTTCAGTCCAGTTTCAGTACATCTGAAACGTAGCAAAAAATCACATTCTCATCTCCTTTTCTGTTATAATGTAATAGTTGAGGTCATTGTGTAATAAAAAGTATCAGTGGAGAATCAGTCACATCTTCAAAGATCGTTTGATTTTCGATTGCAAAATGAGACAAGAGAGAAAGAAAGACAGGAGATAAATGAATTGACAAGTTAAACAATGGGCTGATGAATATATAGAGAAAAAGGAAAAGCGAGATGTTGATGGGAAGGTGTTAGCCAAATTGAACACAATGGTTTCGTGTTCTGTTAGATAACTTTTCTTCCGTATTGGAACAGACAAGGAAGGTTTTTCGGGTTATTTAAGAAGTCGGATTCTTGCTAACACATAAGAAACTTACCGTATATTTATATACAGTAATCTAGCAGAAATTTGGAACACCAAATACCATGAATGCTCTGAATGAAGTGCATTCTGTATGTGCACTTTGAGCTTAATTATCTCAGTTCCTACGAGAGATACCAAGAATCTGTCAACTGACAGGTTTTAAATATCTTTTCTTGAAACCGAGATAATTGAGTCAAAGTACACTTATATGGTGGGTTTCTATTAGAGAATTCATTCTAATCTCAGAATCTCATAATCTCAGAATCTCAGAATCTCAGAATCTCAGAATCTCAGAATCTCAGAATCTCAGAATCTCAGAATCTCAGAATCTCAAAACCTCCGATTCCCCAGACATATAAAAATAGAAACATTCTTTATTTTATCTTCACCTTCTTTTCCAAAGTTTCTTCCTTTTTTTATCACCTGCATTCTTTTTATTTTTCCGAAATCATCAAACTTCAAGGTTCACGTATCACACACACTCATTTGTTTTATTGAGGCCAAATTCCTCAGGTCAAGGCATGAAATTTCAAATTTTGAAAGAAAAGCAAACACTATCTATATACATACAAAATGATAATCAGAAGACATCGTCCAAATTTCCGAATCCTCTACTCAATTATCAGACGTTTATCTTCCTTCTCTTCTGGAAACTTCGCATAGACTCCTAAAACCGGAATTCCCATTTTTTCAATAACGAATACATCTCCAGTCAGACGATCGTTAGAATCGTAGTTTTCGATTGCTTTGTTCTCCTGGAAAAATATTCTACTTTCTGGAATTTTCAGAAGCTGAGATAAACCCCTTCAAAGTTATGCAAGCTAGAGACGCAGACAACGAGACACACTGCGTCTCTGACCTCTCAGACTTTAAATGACTGTATCTCAGCTCCTAGAAGGTTTAGGAAGTTGGTTTTTTGACAGAATTACAGGAAATTTTCTGTTCTACAAGGTCATATGCAAAAACCAAAAAGAATTAAGTTTCTAGCTGACCGGCAGCCGACCGAGCTGACAGATCGGCCAACTGAACTCGGGCATTTGCTCGTCAGCATGCTAGAGAATGTTTGTGTATGCACCACGCGTACGCAAACACTCTCTGACATGACGCGCAAATGCACGAATTCGGTCGGCTGGCGGTCGGCGGTCGAAGATCCTCGTCCATCCGAAATGCAAGATTTAATTACCTCATCCACCCAAACTCCACAATTTTCAGTTCGTTCTCCTTTACAAAAATAGAAATATTGCACTCCCGATGGTCCGGCATCTAGTTTCCTTTTTACACCCTCTGCATTTTTCCAGTTTTGCTTCCATTCGCATTTTGTCTGAAAATTTTTATTTTCAGATGCTTTTAGAATTATTGGAATCAAAAATTTGAATGGTCCGAATTACCATAGAAGGATCCCCTAACTTTTAACTTTGAGCCATTTTATCTTGGTTCCTGTCAAAGATTTGAGGAGATTGTCAATTGATAAATTGTTTACATAATATCACAAATGTTTTATCAGTTGACACATTTTTGCTATCTCTTATAACAGCCGAGATAATTGAGCTCTAATTTAACAGTGTGGGGGCCCTTCTATTACAGTTTTACGGTATTAGAATTTCTGAATTTCGGAAAAACAATTGAACTCACATTTTGCAAAATACTGCACAATATCGTATCTGTGGGAAGTCGAAAATCGGAAAACTCAATCGAAAATTTCACCGAGATGACCAAAATCAAAACACACAAGGATCTCATTTTGTGAAAAAGGAAGAAGTAACTTTTTGGTGATTAAGTGATAAAAAAGGAAAGAAGAGAAATAGAGAAAAAGTCATAAAACGAAGGGGGAGGGGCAAGATGAGGGGGTGTAATTAGTGTAATACACTGTCTAAATATATCTTTAGTTTCGTGAATAGAGAAAGTGACGAGAGTACATAGTTTTAGTGCTTTACTAGACAAAAAAAACATAATTAATCAAACATTCCACTGCCTACTCAACTCCTGAAAATGGTATTCAGTCTGCGTTCGAATCGGCGCCGTTGTCAACTCGAATCCGGGAATCTCATTCAGATTCATTGGCCGCACTGCATAGGAATTCCATCCGATGACTCGTCGAAGACGTCGGAACAAATTCGGATGACATTTGAATGCGCAGATTGGGAAGGAGATTGTGTAAATGGCGGTGATGATGTCAAACAGTTGCGCGGCTTCTCCTCCTGGAAAAAAATGATAAGGGAGATGATATAATGATAATGACAAAAAAGTTCATGTTGGGAAGGATCAGATGATTCAAATAAGAAAAATGAGTCATCCTTTGTTATGTGACCCGCTCACTTTCAACTTTGAACTAATTTATCTCGGTTTCTGTCAAAGATATCTAAAAGTTGTCAACTGATAAATTGTTCATCATGAGATTAAAAGTGTTTCATCAGTTGACACATTTTTGATATCTTGCATAAGAACCGAGATAATTGAGCTCAAACTTGACAGCTCAAGGGCCCTTCTATTAGGGGTTTTTAAGTAGTACCGCGAATAAGATGGTGTTTATGGCATTCAAAAAAAGCCACTTTGAAAAAATTCGATTTGGATTCAAATGAAAATTTTTGACGAAAATCACACACTCCGGTTTTATGTGAGGAATAGGGTGAGTTAACTTTTTCAGCGTGGTATTTCTAGGTCACCGTCGTTGATGGTTCCGGAATGGTGTAACATGCACAAGATGTGTTTCTAGGTCATTTAACATGGTGCCCTAACTTTCGCTAGTTGAGTTTTATAGGCCAACAATAATTATGATCTGATATTTACATGGTGGGTTTTCTGGGTCAATTTGACATAACGGATAGTGGCCTAACTTTTGCAGGTGGATTTTTCTAGTCCACCGCAGTTGATGGTACAAAATGGTCTAACATGCTCCAGATGTGCTTTACATGTCATTTAACATGGTGGCCTAACTTTCGCAATATGATTTTTCTAGGCCACATTCAATGGTCCAGAAATTGTCTAAAACTCATCAGGTATGTTTTCTAGGACATTAACATGGTGGCTAACTTTCGCTAGTTGAGTTTTATAGGCCACTAATGATTATGGCCTAGAAATGACCTTACATTTACCTGGTAGGTTTTCTAGGACATTCAAACATAGTGGCCTAATTTTGATTTTCCTAGGCCACCATGGTGAAAAACATATATATGACCCAGAAAACATACCAGGTTAACATCAAGCCATTGATAGGCCATTTACCATGGTGGCATAGAAAAATCGACTTGCGAAAGATATGCCACCATGCGGCCCAGAACGAGAGCACTGAGCCCAGTCTAAACGGACGTTCAAAACAATTTTCGAATAAACCAAACTTCTGGGTGTCTAAAATTCTTATTCAAAATTCAACAATTTCAAATTCCATCGCTCACCTCTTCCGAACCACTTGACGACTTCCTCAAATCTCGTTGGCTTTTTTGTCATCACTCCCACCCAATATCCTCCATATACGAGAACAGCAACAGATAATATCGAAAAAACCAACATCAATAAAAGCAACGGAAAAAGCAAATGAGTGGATCGAATATTCTCCGAAATTTGATAGCGCTCACTCAAATTCGAGTTGGTGAACCATATCTCTCGAGCATTGTACTTGCTGATGTTCTTCTTGTAAACTACGGTCATCCCCTGAAAAACTCGAAAAGTTTTGGATCCCAAAAAGATCTAATTTACCACTACACTAGCTATAAATCCTATCAAAATGATAAAGATGGTTATAATGAACATGGATGGTGTCAAATATTCTACTTGGCATGGTAAATGGGGATATTCTAGAAAATAATGCATACGATTAGCCCTGTCCAGGTAGTTTCCAAGGATCATAGACATTGGGATCAGCCACTGAAAATTGGTCTTTTGAATTTATCTCCAGCCCCTCCTCCCGAATCTACCCCATACCTGCAAGAAAGCAAAAACGCATGGAAAAATGTGAATTTTGATTTTCTCGTAGTCTTTAGACCAAATCGTACCGGCTGTCCGCTCGAGCATAATGAATACGAATGAGAGACAAACCGAGTCAGCCGACGAGTGATGCACTGCGTTTGCAACAAAACACCACGCATGACCTAGAATGAGGTTTAGAAACGATTTACTTTAACAAAGAGAAACTGACTGGAAATATCCACGTCACGAAGGTGAGCAATACAAAGGGGAATGGCGATCATGGCACGACCTGCTGCCATAAGGATGAACCCGATGCAGCAATTGCAGATTAGGATTCGAAGGTTCTAGAAAAAAAAGTTAGTGGTTGAAAAATAGTTTGCCCTGTCTGTTGCACACCTGTCACTGGTTTTTTAGAAATACTGTCAAACCTGTAATAGAAGGGTTCGGAACTTTAAAACTTGAGACAATTTATCCCGCTTCCTGTTAAGGATATCAAAAATTAGTCAACTGATAAATTATTTATCATAATATCAGGATAATTTTATCAGTTGACAAAATTTTGATATCTCTCATAAGAGCCGAGATAACTGAGCACAAACTCTACAGTGTGGAGGAGGCCCATTCTTTTACAGGTTTTACGTATAAGTCACTTCACTCCTATTTCTAAGGACCTCCTTTAATCTGAAATCTGTCTTATGGCCTTAAGTTCCTTTTTCCCTAATCGGGGTGAGCCTTAAATTTTCCGAATTTTTTCGTTCTTCTTCCGGAATCACCATTATTTGCCAATCGAATTTCTCCGTGTTTCTTTGCCTGTATATCCGGATGTCCCCATCTCTACCTCCCTTACCAAATGCAGTGCACTTGTCGACATAACTGCAACAATCATACACAAATTTTCCAGCACTCCAATCGTCAACAATCCCATCTCTACACTGTAGATCAGAAAATTGCCGTCGGTGACCATTTCGGCCGGCGTAAAATTGCCAAGCACATATCTCATGTACTTCGGTGTCGACGTCACAATTTCTGACATTAGGATAGGTGAAACATCTGAAAAATGAAGCGGATTTTGAATTTTGTGAACCCGGAATTTAAGTTTCAGATTCATTGGAACGGAATGCAATGATTTCTAAAAGTGAGTCAGGAGTCGAAAAGAGCAGGTGGAATAAAAAACGGGAGGGTGGTCTTCGGGGAAAAGTTTGGGAACTATTTTTTTTAGAAAACTCGAATAGTTGTTCAAAATTTTTTTTATTAAGCATTCTAGCAAAAAAATAGAGCAAAATTTATCTTCGAAATTTCCTAAACCTCTGATCTTCTGCAACTACGAAAACTTTAATTTTCGAAAAAGAAACTCAGTTATGAGAAAACTTGAGTGTCTAGACAGGTGAATTAAGAAAAAAGCAACAGTGTTACATTTAACGAGAAAAATTATCTTTAAACAAAAATATGAAATTATGAATGATGTCAAGATTAGAAGATTTGAGAAGAAGTGAGGAAAACTTGCAACGTTGAGCCAATTTATCTCATTTCATGTCAAAAATATGAAAAAGTTTTAACTGCTATTAGGTTGGCAGGAAAGTAACTGCCCCTTGTTTTATTTATGAATAATACAAAAGCAGGATTAATCCAAGATTAGCATTATGCACCGTCGTGGTCCACGACATGTTGGCAATGTTCAGATAACTTGTGGATACAATACCTTCAAAAGCCAGCTAGCCACAAATCAAAGTATTCTTTTTTTTTGTTTTTCACACAAATGGTGCAAATTTTCGTATTCTCTAGATGAGGTTGTATCTCTCCGAATATCCAATAATCTGATAGAGCTCAGTCGGGACTATAAATAGGTGAGGGAGAACGGTCCCACTGAAGCTGCTCAGGTCTGACTTGACTGCAGGTAAAAAATGAAAAAACCTCATGTTCACGGAAAGTCACGCCGTGCATTAGCCGCTTTGGCTGGACGGTTCTCCTTTACCCCCGTTAAAGAATTGATTCAGCTCTATCAGATCATTGGTTATTCAAAAGTATACGACGTCATCTGGAGCTTAAGGACTTTAACACAATTGATACCTGAAAAAATGGGCTGGAGGGATACTTTGACTTGCCACTAGCTGGCTGTTGGAGGGATGGTACCCACAAGTTACCTGAACATTGCCAACATGTTGTGGATCACGACGGTGCATATTGCTAATTCTGGATTATTCTTGTGTTTGTGTTATTTACCAATAAAAAAATGAACAGTTACTTTCCTTCCAACCTAATAAAATAATTATCATAATATCATAAACATTTTATCAGTTGAAACATTTTTGACATCTTTCACAGGAATCGAGATAATTGAGCTCAAAGTTAACAATATGGGAGGGGTGGCCTTTTTTACAGATTTTTTTTACAGAAAAGACGGAATATCAGAATTAGGGTTGGCAACGGGGCTCTCGCTTTTACGCGGGAGCCCCGCCCGAGCGCGCGGGGCGCTGAAGTTCCTGCCTAAATTTCAAAGTGGATAGTTTGACCCTAAATTTTGCAAATATGTTCTTTATAGTTTTTTCCAGATTTCCCCAAAGTTTCATACAGACTTGTTCAATTTCCGAATGGTTTTTACCTCAGTTTTCTGCAGAATACCTGAATAGCCCCATAGGTTCGAAAAAAGGCTAACTTTTCAATTTTCGACACACTTACACATTTCTTAATCTCACAATCTTTCTCACTTCCTCAAAGTGACGTAAAATTCCAATCAACTCTTACTCATC